TTTCTCTTGCTTGTTTCCACCTCGTAGTAATAAGACGTAATAGTCTTAAGTAGTTTGAATTTCTTAGATGAAGCATTGTCATTATTATTCATTTTTGATTCGTCTTTCTTTCATCTTATTTTGCTAGCACGAATAAGTTGTCAAAATTTCTAAGACATTGCAATATGAAACACATTATGTAACCATTTTGTCTTTGTTTTCCTTCCATTGGAATCTGGTTCATCGTGGCTCTCCAAACTTCCTCTCCTTTTTGCTCTTAACATTTACCTTCCTACAGTCTCTCCTACTTGTTTCCTCGATTACTCAATGTCCCCCCCTTCTCATACTCTGTGTGTTAAATTTTCTAACCCTTCTTTCCTTATGTATCCCAGAAATTTCAACTCCCTTACTGTAAGTATTGGATTAGCCAAAAAAATTTCTTCAGTTATTAAGTCGACGTTTTACTTCATAAATCCAACAAACTTTTTGGCCGATCCAATAGATTTACGACTAGGTTCCTTTGTTGTGGCTCACATATTAAGTCTACAGTATTCTCCACATCATTGTTGCTTCTTCATCTGTGAGAAAATCCATATAGGACGATTGGTATTTCACACGGCAGTTCAGGATTCTTTTTTTTTTTTTTTTTTTCCTTTTCTAATGATATTTTCTTGTTTCTTAATACTTTGCTGAGTTTTTGGAAAGCATTTTTGTTTCCCACCTTCCTTAGGATGAGATCATAAAAAAAAAAAAAAAAAAAAAAAAAAAAAATTGGCTACTTTTTTTGCATTGGACATAACAACAGAAAAGTAGTCCCCCACTTTAAGTTTTAAACTGATCCTCTTTAAAAATTCAAACATTTTAGTATCGTATTCAGAATTAAAGATTGATATATGAAAGCCTTCTAATAATAGCATATAGACAAACCAGTATTAATATGAAATTCTCCTGGGCACAAAGTGGGGGATGGTTTTTTTTATTGTTATCAAGTAATAAACTGATCCCTCCAGAATTAATAACATTTTTGATGTGTAAACTCAATTGAATGTATATATAAAAACACACTTGTGAAAATCATACTAAGGGCTTTTTTTATAATATGGTTAAACTGGTATTAATATAAGATTCTGCTGGATATAAAGTGTGGGGGATGGGGTAGTTTTCTATTGTTGTTAAGTAATAAACTGACCCCACACCACAAAAAAAAAAAAAAAAAAAAAAAAAAAAAAAATTACTATATATTAATATAATTGGAAAAATATATTTAAATGCTCATATATAGAAAACCTTATTAAGTTCTTAAAATATGCTAGCATTTTTGATGGCATGAATCAATGAATGTAACATTCTACTAAATGTCAAGTGTAGGATCAATTTTTTTTTTATTAAGTAATAAACTGACCCCCACCCTTTCCCAAATTATTACATCAAACAACAACTAGAAAAAATATATTTAATGATTCACACATGGAAACCCAACAAAATAGAGCTGTGATATTTTTTTTTTTTTTGCCTTGGCTGAACTACAATCTATACTATTCTACTGGGCATAAAGTGGGGGCTCGGATTTCTAATCTTAAGTAATAAATTGATTCCCCTTCCTCAATACATATTTATTGATAGTAAGGACTTGGTTAAACTAAATTTATATTATCCTACTGAACATAAAGTGGGGGATTGGTTTTCTATTGTTAGAAAATAAACTGATTCCTTCAGAATTATTTGATATTAAATATTTTTTTCTAATTATTACACTAACATGCAGTAATTATGAAGGGATCAGTTTACTAACAATAGAAAACTGATCCCCCAATTTATGTCTAATAAGTCATGAGGTTTGATGGTAAAGATGCTTATGAATATAAACTGGGGGATTGGTTTTCTATTGTTAGTAAGTAATAAACTGATCCCCCGGGCTGAATTAGTTTTTTATATATATATATATATATATATATATATATATATATATATTTTTTTTTTTTTTTTTAAATGATGTGCATGTGAAAAGGACTTAAACTTTATCAATTTGTGTATGATTTCATTTGCTATGCAAAAAGTTTACCCTACCACTGAATTTGTTTGAATTTCATAGTTGTGTTGTCATATCCTGCTATGGTAACAGAAAACAACTTTGAGTGAAATTAACAATAAGGATACTGAAATTGAGAGGCTTTTGAAAAAGAATGCAGTGGAAAGGGAAGTCCTGTTAATAATGCAGTGACAAAATAAGCCATGATTCTCAACCTTTTTTTAAATCCCTGGATTACTTTTAATTTTTTAGTAATAGATAAGTTTAGGAATTATATTATAGAAATAGTAAATGTATGATTTATTTTGAAGTAAAACTAATTTATTGAAAATAAACTTATATTTATCAACTAAATTCTATGGGATATTTATGTACACTAGTAAAATAATTCATAATAAACAATTTTAAAATATGTGAGTAATTAATAATTTAAAAAAAATATGCATATTTATTCACTAAGATCCCTGGGGTTGATACTGCTGAGAAGGTTAATATAATCCCTTTGTTATATATTAAAATTATATATATATATATATATATATATATATATATATATATATATATATATATATATATATATATATATATATATATATATAATTTTTAAAAAAAAAAAATTATAACATAAGTATGTTATAAAATCACTACAAAAATAGCCATTTTGTTTCAACACACTACAGTTTTTACTCAACTTTTACAATCAAAACATCCAGTAGAGTAAAAGAGACACTGACTTATATCACTTAACCTTGTTTTCTTTAGTTTTAAAATTGTTTCTCTATTTTTAGTATTTAATTATGGCCTAGATTACTGCAGAAACCTTAATTCTCAGTTATAACAACCATTCTGAAGTGAAATTGCTCTCTGGACCATTAAAATATTACCATGGACCCTGATTGAGAACCACTGGCTTTGTTAAACTAGAATGAATTTCTATTATTCTGCTGCGCATAAAGATTGCTCTAGATCCAGGCTTCTTTTGAATATCTCAGTTATCTCCCTTTAACACAATTCTCCAAGTTTTTGTCCACCATTGCAGTAGCCAGGTAATTGAACTCACAATTCTAGGTCAAGTCACTGCATCCAATATTAGCAACAAAATTGCATTGCAATATGAGATCTGGTAATAAAAAAAAAAAAAAAAAGGTTACTAAGACATTAAGTTTGTTAAGTCCCAAAAATTCATACACTGATGCCCTGAAGGACATATCATCCAGTGGATAAAAGCATGGATTGGATCCAGTGACTTCGACCCAAAGAATTCTAAGTTCAGTACCTGGCTACTGCAGTGGTGAACAAAAACTTAGAGAATTAAGGGGAGATGACATGTGGACAAAATAAAGGGTTCAGTTTGAAATTCCAATCATCAGCTGAGGAAGGTCACAGAGTACAATGGATGGAAAACTGTGAAGATGGTTTTATGCTATTTCTATTTCAAACTGATCCCTTTATTTAATCCATGGGGTTAGATTGTTCTGATTCCACCGACTCGGTTATTTCTTGCCTTATTTGCACATCTAGTCTGCACTGGCCCAAAATTCACAATCTGTTCAGCTATTGTCCCATGGGACAATCCTGAGTGTATAACTTGGAGCCTAATCTGCCTGATGAGATAAAAAAAAAAAAAAATATACCTTAATGTGAGAGTATAAAAGATTTAAATTTCATTCGCAAACAAGTCTAGGTTTCGCTTGTTTAAGACAACATAAAATTTTATGCAAATCTGGAGCAAGATACACACTCTTTCATAAATGTTCAGGCAAAGCTCCAATCTTATCTAATAAATGACAGAAATGCCATTAAAGTTGTACTGATGCATCAATGTGAAAAACCTGAAAATGTTTTCTACAGAAAAAAAAAAAAAAAAATGATTTAGTCTTCATAGAAATTGGTTGTGTTATCCATACCCTGTGAAAGACTACAGGGACATTTATACTTTAAGGCGACACTGTATTTCCTGGTACTGGACATGTCAGCATCCATGAGGCCGAAATAAACATACTAAATGTACTTACCTATGTTAATTTTAATGAAGTAAATTAAAATTTTAATTTTTAAATGATAGCATCACAAATGTGATTTGTCTTTACCGAGACTGAAATAAAATAAATGAATTTAAAATTTGAAGTAACTTATTTCAAAATAACTTATTTTGTTTTTTTTAAATGTAAATTTTAAAATACCTTTATTTCTGTGATGAGAAATACTTGGAACCATTCTTACAATCTTGGCACAAATACAAAAGCACATTTGTGATATTAGCATATTGCATTCAGGACCATTCTTTCAGACAAGTACCCAACTGCAGCTGTCAATATTATTTTAACTGGAACCATTTTCTTCAACTTCCAAGCAATGCCACCAAACGAGACAAGGTATAAAGAATTTTATTTTTTTCCTTTTTAATTGACATTAACCAGAAGCCATCCACCAATAAAATATTAAGATTGAAACACGTACTGAAATGTGTCAAGTTTTTTTGATTGGTTATTTATAGAGGAAGTAGGTAATGTTTATTTCACTTAAATTGCATACTGTGCAATTACCAACTCAAGCAGAGATATAATAAATATGGCAGTGCTTTAAAAAAAAAAAAAAAAAAAAAGAATTCTCTAATTGGGTGGGGGGATGGTTTTTGGTCAACAGCAATAAGAAAAGAAAAACATTTACAGAGAAAAAAAAAAAAAATAATTAAATATTAAAATTGTGTAATATGCTCCCCTAATGAATTGAGCAAGAAAAATAGCAAATGAAGTGATGTTCCAGTTAAGTTAATATTTCTTAAGATCCAAATTCACAGTTAAAAATAAATTTAAAATTTCCTCACCTATCCCAAAAAGAGAGATAAGGATGCTCACAGCTATTTATATATAAAAACAAACAAACAATGGAGGAGTTGGGTGCCTACAAGTAACATTCCAAACTCAAACTCTAGTAATCAATCAATAACTAGGCAGTAGTTTTATTTTTTTGGGCTTTTTTTTTTTTTTTTTTAATAATTAATATTGCTGGTGATCTGGCCAACATTGTGAATGACTTTGACAAAGTGATGCCCCTCCCAAGTGATCAGAGACTCACGACAGGAGGGAACCTGGAGGAGGAGGAGGAGGGGGTGGGGTAAGAAAAGGCTGAAGAAAAATAGTCTCTGGGCTAATCATAAGGCCATGTTGCGGCCTTCGATACTAATTGTTACAGCCCGTTGGGCTCTCAATCTCCGTTTCTTCTCCTGGAATGCTCGCATCTGTTTTTCATACCTTGATAAGCCTTTCTTTGATGAACCCTACAATAGCAAATTAAATAATAAAAATAATAACAGCTTTTAAACGAGATTCAAATGTATAAAGCAGATAAAACACACTAATTAAATTATCTACTATAAAAAAAAAAAAAAAAAAAAAATCTAAAACTCCTAATCTCACCTGCAAGATTCAAATTACAGAGAAACCAATATTATTTACAAATTCATATGTCCCTTAAGGAACTATGTTTCTAATCAATCCAAATTTATAATTATATTGGATATACTACACCATGCCTATCAAGAAGGCTCATGTTACATCTCTCTGACCATAGTTCAATTAGGTTTCATTTAAATACATATATCTGTAGCAAACTTGTTGATAATAAAAAATATAATACCTGATCCATATGCTAAAATGGCTAAAAATAGTGAAAATTTTAAAGAAAAAGAAAAAATCAATAATATCAACTATGAACACAGCCATAATGTTCTGACCATGTTTGGAAAATAAAACATTCCTATAACTAGATACATACATAAAAGTAAAAAATTATCCTTGATAATGGCTAAAAGTATAGCTCAAAGTGCTCGGACATAAAACATTTGTACAGTTTTTTTTTTCATATAATTTATGTCCAGGAAAGAAAGAAAAAGAAATTAAATAAAATCTTAACTACTGATGAGCTATGATACAGTGTCTGTGGATTATATATATATATATATATATATATATTAAAGAATATCAAACACTTAAAATCCCGTATGTAATAATTTTTATTTCATTACCTATGGGATTTCAAATGTTCGAAATTCTTTAATTAATAATAATTTTGCTCTGTCTCTTGACAGAGCTCTCCCTGGAAATTCTATATGAATTACTATATATATTTGTAATTTTCCCCCTCAAAGTATAGTTTGAAGTTTTTAATGTTGTATGGGGGCTATATATATATATATATGAAGCCATTTGTCTGCTGGACTTCAAATTAACCTCAATCCAAATAGATTTGTTTTATTTTCTTTATTAACACAATTATTAATGATATTATATATGAAACTGGTGACCAGAGAGAATTTGAGATCAGTGTACTTTCAATGTATTTTCTTCTCTAAACAGACCAGCATTTATTGGGTAGTTTAGTGTAACATGCCTAACCACAAATCTGACCTAATAAATGCTAGTCTGATTAGAAGAGAAAAGAAGTCACTATGAAGAGAATGCATTGAAAGTGCACTGATCTCATAATCCTCTACAGTCAACCTCAAACAAGGCTCATATACCATATCACCAGAGTTTTAGTAGCACAACACGGTATACAAACTAATAGAGAAAAAAAAAACAAAAAACAAAACACAATCTACTTGAAGTGGGCTAATTTCAAGCAGACATTAACAATTTCAACATGATAAATTACACACACAAGATATATCTCAACTTATGAATAAAACTTGCTTCTCAAAGTTGTCTTAACCTTACCAACACAGGGTAGTCATATGAGTGCCATCCCACAATATTCAACCTTCAACACAGTTTTATAAACTCTTAAAGATTAGCATCTATTTTCCTAGAGTTTTTTTTTTTTAATATAAAGATTTTAAAGTATTTGTATATTTATTGGTTCGACATGATCGTACGTGAGTCTTAAAGGATGAAAATCAAAAAAAATGTCATGTCAGTAAATTGGAGAGAAAGTTTCAATCACTTACCCGAGGATTTTCATCCACATTCCATTTGGGTCGTACAACGTAATCTTTATTTGAAGGCATTGGTACACGAGCTCTGTACACCCAGCCTTTGTCTCCAGGACGTAGAGCTCTGAAATGTAATTGCATAGAAGGTTTAGCATTCGGTCCAAAGAAACAAGTTGGAATGATGAGCTGTTTTGAGGAAGAAAAAATTTTGAACCAATACTGTCACCAGGTAGAGAATGATGAACTTCAGTAAAGTCTAAAATCTGTTTTTATATCGTCGTTTTTTTTTTTTGTTTTAAGCATAGTATAGATTTTATCAAACATGTGGCTCTGATGAGCACTTCAAGGCAAAACTCTGGAGCCAGCCAATCAGTTAAGTCAATTGAACTTTTATTGATTATAACTCTAGTTATCTATTGAGTACTTTTTGTCAGACGTTCTGCTGACCTGAAATAAGCGTAAAATTCTCATAAGTTTTACATATTTTTAAGTTTTAGTATTATTATTCCTACAATTTATTGATTACTCTTGGTATGGTATAAAATGCTTTTTGTTCAATATCTTTTCATGTTAAAAATTGTATGTGTTTAATATAACAGTGAAATGGAGATATCTCTCTGAAGAAAAAGATTAGCAACAGCAAATGACAAAGCAAGACAATCACAGCCACAAAGCTATCTGAGTGCCTCACATGAAAGGCTTGAACAAATAAGACTGCAATCTAAGAAACGTAGAAGTAAAGGGCTTAATTAATTAAACGGTTTATGTTCAGCCATTACTTTGATTGACTGATTTGTTTTCTAGGATTTGTCAAACCTTTACAGCAGGGGTCGGCAACTCATTCGACCCCGCGAGCCGGATCGTGTTATGACGGGTTGCGGGCCGGACGAAGGCCATTAATGAAAAATTAAGGAAAATTACATATGCAGACCCCTGTCAACCTAAATATTTAAAACCATAATGAAAATAAACATTGAGAAATCAGAAAAACAAAGAAAATCTAAAATTAAAAAACACCTAACAAAAAATTACTTTTCCTCAATGAACGTCAAAATACTTCAAAGTGAAAAAAAAATCAACCGAAGTGAAATGGATGAAATTATGACGTGTAGGTTTGAAACTGTTATTGAAAATTGTTCCACAAACAGACCACACACACACACAACATCAAACAAAAAACGAAGCATATATACCCATACATACGAGTACAAATAGTTGCAAACATATACACTTTACGTACGTACACATGCGGTATCATCCACACATTCATGAGGCATGTATGTATAATGCGCGTATGTTTAACTGTCTTTAGATTTTTGCTACCTCGCATGTCAGTCCCTCCTGGCCTCTTTCACTTTATCGTTCCTTTCTCTTCTGTTATCTTTTAATGTAGCCAAGGGTCATAAAAAAAATATGTATCCATTATTTGACATTAAACATAGGCAAACAAAATTGGTAAAATAAGTCTCATGAAAGATAACTGGCAGATAGTCTAATATTTTTTTGAATTTGAGATGTGTAGGCTTTCTGTGTATTTTTGAATTTAACAAAGTTTACAGCAATTGGAACTCAGCTCTTTACAAAACAGACATAGGGATTGCAGTCGGTTGGCCGCATGCAAAATCTTCCTCTTAAAACAATTTTTCAAGAAAATGAGTTTCTCAAATTCAGTAGCAGACCCATTGAAAGATTCCAGTAATGATAGGGGATTTTCTTCCTAACTTTTATTTCACATGGTGTGGAATATCAACATTTTGATTATGTCAATTTTCTCTTCATGTTACCTCGGTCAAATCGGCTCCATTTTTGCTTTATTGTTGTTCAAAGTTACAAGAAATGGCATTTCTGCTTTTGATCTGGTTTTTTTGTTCTTTTGATTCTGTGGTGCCAGTCCACAAGGTTCAAACAGGACCTTTTTTCGAATTCAAAGTGTCTTCTCTTCAAAAATAGCTCAAAGTCATCATTCAATGGCCGGTCTCTATTTTCGTGGCCGTGGGTTGCAGTGATCAAGGCCCCTGATTGATGAAGATAGTTTATTATTATGCAAACAGTTTTTGTGTTATTTTTCTCGTTTGCTTTTTGTGTGATCCAGGAATAACTGGCTGAGAATTTCCACCTTCGTCTCACTTCCAACCATCATTGCTGGATTTTTTTTTTTTTTTAGTATTAATGTTCACCTTTTACAAGGCCCAACAGCCACTCAAGATTAGAGTTATTGTTGTGGTATAACTGTACAAGCATTAAGAAAAATTCCGATGAAATTCATGGGGATTATGCATAAAAGATAACGATTAACTAAAGACTTGAAAAGGTCAGGATCATTTTGATTGGGAAAACATCTTATTGGGAGTCTGTTCCACAAAGCAGCAGTTTTTGTTAAGAAGCTGTGCAAAAAGAACTTTCTCCTTACTAATGGAATTCAAAAGAAATGGGGACGTCTTTTGTACGTGGCATGGCATGTCTGAGTTGTAAAGGTCAGATGTAGTGGGACTAAGGAATGTGGCTTGTCAGAACACATGCCATAGAAATAGCTTTAGAGCAACATTTTGTCTCTGGGAAAGACGTGGAAAATAATACATCACCCAATGCCATATACATGTATTTAAACTCTATCAAGACAGGCAAGTGAGGACTGGACAGCTCCAGCCCAAATATGGTGACAATACTCCATTTTTGCTTTGATCTGTCTCTTGTCAAGATAGAGTTTAGCATGGGGAGAGGGGGGGGTCAGATACTGACCATTTTACACCTGGGTGTGGCATCAATATAGGCACCAATCAGTAGACTTATAATATCAAGTAAAAGAAGGTAAGTTAAAAATAAATAAAACAAAATCAGAAACTTACTTTTCTTCTTGAGACATGGCCTTGTCAATATCTCTCCTTGGTGTCTCTCCCCCTTCTTCACTGTAAAAAGAAAAAAAAAAAAAAAAACGATATGTAAAACAGACCAAATTGTCTCCATATTTTAAAACTGAAAAGAATGAAGTATCTACTTGATCCCTGGCTCCTCTTCTTTTTTGGCTGAGAAACTTATTAAGCAGCAAGCAATTGGAAAAGCATGAGGTAAGAATGCTACAGAAAAATGAATCAATGGTTATATATAAAATTATTACACACAAGAGAAAAGGGATGGCAATGGGGAGGAAGAAAGAGAGAGGAAGAGAGACTTGTTGGTTAGATATCATGAGACAATGAACAAAAAATTAAAAATTATGTTTTCAAACGAAAAAAACACTTAAATTTCTGTATATTAAAATTTGGCAAACATGGACCTTTGGGCTGAAAAAAAAAAAAAAAAGAATCAAAAGGATATTTTTTTTTTCTATTAACACTGCTCTTGTTTTAACTACCTTCACTCCTCAGCAATGTTTGTTTTAAAAAGTGAAGATTAGAATTGAATTTATACATTTTCTTTGTTCTTGAGAATTGACAACACTATTTATTATAGTGTTTATTGAAATGGTTGGCAAAACATCGCCTAATTCTCAATTGATTCAAATTTTATAAAATGGTAAATAATAAAGATTTACTTAAATTTGTTTCACATATTTTAATAATTTAGTAAATGTTTATTAATTTATGAATAAAAAATTATTTTCATATTAATTTCTTTATAAATTGGTAAATGATAAATATTGCATTAGTTTTAATACAATAAATTTTTAGAATGTTGTAAATATAAAATTATTCTTTTAAATAAACAATCTAATAAATGAATAGGGCTTAATATTTTTGTTTTAAATTCTCAAGAACAAAAAAAAAAAAAATGTATAAAATCATATTTGAAATTTTAAAAAAATTCTAATTGTCATTTTTAAAACACACATTGGTGAAGGTACTTAAAAGTGGTGTCATTGGAACTCCATTTTTTTTGTCTTTTTTCTGGCAAGATAACTGGATTTTGGAATCTCTTCATCCGTGAGGAGGAAAGGTCAGAAGAGCTATCCTCCTAAACTCCCATATTACATTGATACCCTTCAGTATAATATATATGTTATATAATATATATATATATTCCTATATGTGCAGTACTTATCAAATTACCTCTGCCTATCACCATTGCTACCAAACCAATGGCATCCCAACTCATATCCATAAGCTGGCCTCATTTAAATTATATCCCAGAATTTTTGTTTATAAAATTATATCCTCCCCCATATGCAAAAACTTTTACATTGCCACAAAATCTCTCAGATCTTTTTTTCACTCAGTCTTTTAACAAGCACCCTTTACAAATTCCATCAATGATAAATTATAAAAAAACTGCCATCTGGTCCATTCTTGAATTAACGCTTTTACTGGAACCATTGGCTTTCAAATTAAATTTTTTATCTCCAAATCATGATTCTTTGCAATATTTTTCCAACATGTGTATTTTATAATCACCATATGGCTATTAGTAACGTTGGCACCTTCAGACAAAATCTTTGGAAAAAAATAATAACAATTCTCTCTACCCGTATTGGAATAAATATTTTCTCCTGTCAAAAAAAACATAGTGTCTTTTTTTCGGCCCTTGCAGACTGGCACTCAGAAAAATGATATCTTGAGAAGATAATTTTAATAACATTCTCTTTACTCTTTTTTTAATCATCCATTTGTGGCTTCGTCAAAATTTTATTGTCACCATATGGTCTGTCCCGATATCTCAAAGACTTCCTTTCTGAATCTCACATTCTCTTGGCAAGCATAGGTTTTTTTTTTACAAGCAACATTAATCAATTGTCAATAATAATTTTAAACGCTTTTCATGAATCTGTTATTCACAATTTAAGTGTCTGAGAAACTGCCTATATTTTTAGGATGAGGATTGAATTTTTTTAAATTGTCCTAGTCTTTGTCCCAAAATGAATGTTGACCAAACATTTTTGTTAAACATCTATTTCAAATGGAACTAGAACAGCCTACCCCAGTGATATAAAAATAAAGGGTTCAGTTAACACATTTGTTTAAATGAAGAAGTTACTGGTTCATAAACAGACTTTATGATGAAACATTGTAAAAATATGGTGACAAAAATGAGGACAATAGCCTGAATAATGTAAATAATGTCTTTGATAAAGTAACTCAATTTTATGATGTTAAAAAAAAAAAAAAAAAAAAATTGGAAGAAATCTTATTTTCTGTTAACAGTATTTTCTTGTTTTTAATTTCTATGGTTAATTTCTATTATTCAATTACCATAGCTAAGTAGTGTCAAAAGTTTGAAGAAGGGTTACCAAGGAACAATGGACACCTGAAGAAGGCATCCTTATAGAACATAGCATCCCCAAATCATTGTTGTAAGGAGAACTAAAATGTGTCCAAGATTTGCATGTTGGTCATGGAATAGTGAAATAAGAAGACAAAACTCACCTGACTCTCTGTCTTTTAGGCAACTGCTGATAATCTCTTTCTTCTCGTTCTTCTTTTGTTAACATGCTATAATTTGAGGTCAGGTTGAAAATTGGGCTTGAGACCATTCATCTAAAGAGAAAGGACAGACAATATAAATAAGTCCCTGGGATAATAAAATTTGCCCCCCCCCCTTCAAATATGTATTAAATGTGAGGCCAAGTGGAAACAGACAAAAATTGTTGCAACTGCTTCATCAAAAATAAACTTTCTTTTATGTGTGAAAATGTTTTCAGGATTCAGACTGTTGTCTCCATCTTTATTTCCATATGCACAGTATTTGTCAATCCATTGTTACAGACTCCGCCTTTTCAGGTGATTGGAATTTTGAACTTGTCTCTTTTTCCCTCTATTCAACTCGTGGTATCAGATTCTCCAGGACCTCCTTTCTCATTCACCTGTCCCAAAACTTCAGAGCCTCTTTCTGATGTTAAAAATAAGTCATCCTGATTTGCATCCTCTCTGAGGACATCAGTTGAACAATGATCGGTAATTATAGATACATAGACAAATTCTGAAAATGTTATTTAATCGCCTCGAAAATCTTCTTCATTTTTGAGAAAATTTGAGGAAATCATCCAACATTTGCTGCCATAAAGAAGTACAGATGTCACGCAAGAGCTCAGTATTCTTTTCTTTGTTACCAAAGAAATCCTCCTGTCTTGTAATAATCTGCCCAGCTTTTGGAATGTGTCCTTGGCCATCCCAATACATCTACGGATCTCAGCATCGCACTTACCGTCCTCTGTCAAGATGCTTCCCAGATATTTAAACTTCCGCGTCTGCTTAATTCTAGTCTTCCCAACCTGCAAATCGCATTTCGGGCTCATCCTCTTACTTACAACCATGCACTCCATCTTCTTGTAGTTTATGCTTAGTCCTTTCTTCTCACGCTCCGTCACTACCTTCTGTAGGAGATTTTGTAATTTCTTTTCTGTGTCTGCTATCAGTACTCTGTCATCTGCATATCTTATATGGTTAAGGCTGTGGCTGCCAATGCTAAATCCCAGTAGGGTTTCAAATTCTCTCAGAATTGCCTTGCTGTATAGGTTGGACAGGTCAGGTGAGAAGACGCATCCTTGCCTTATGCCCCTTTCTATATTTGTATATTCACTGAACTCATTCCCTATGCGTATGCATGCTGTTTGTTGCCAGTATAGGTTCTTGATTATTCTGATATCTTTCCTGAATATATAGAGGTTGCTGAGCAGTTCAATCAGATCCTTGTGGCGTACTTTGTCAAAGGCCTTTGCATAGTCTATGAAACATAGGTGCACATCCTTCTGCATCTGTATCGCTCTTTCTGATAACATTCTGAGCATGAATATCGCATTCCTTGTTTCGGTGTCTTTAATGAACCTGCACTGTTCTTGTTCTATCTCTGGTCTGATTCGGCTGTGTGCTCTGTTCAACAGAATACGGATGATGAGTTTTTGTCATGTGGCTCATCAAGTTTATTGTTCAGTGGAGTTTGCATTCATTTGCACCTGTTTTCTTAGGCATAGCTATGAAGATAGATCTACTGAGGTCTTTCGGTATATCCCTGATGCTGTAGATTTCATTTGTTATTTCGGTGATCTCGTCTATGCCAAAGTCATCTTAAGGCTGTCACCATTTCCATTACAATTCTGTCTGGCCCAGCTGCCTTGTTTTTGTTCAATTTGGCCAGTGTGGCTTTTACTTCAGTTTTCAGAATTCCAGGTCCGTCGGTAATTCTGTGTATTGCTGGTTGTTCCCTTACGTTGTGGAAGAGTTCTCCAATATACTCGCTCCAGCATTGAATAATTTTTCCTTCTCTAATATGAGTGTCCCGTCCTTTGATTTTAGGCAGTCTGTTGACGAGCATGTCTTCTGTCTTGTTAGTTATCTTATTTGTTTGTGCATGTTTCTCTTGTTGGTTGTACTCAATCTTTCTATTTTTGCACATTTTTCATTTAGCCATTCTTCTATAGCTTGTCTGGTCCTTATTTCATTGTGTAATTATGACTATAAAAATGTGTAATTATATGACTATAAAAAATTTTTAAAAAAATTAAAAAAATGATTAATTTCAAAGCCTATTATTTATGACATATAACACCTAACCTATTATTTAAGATAATATAACATACAACTTAATTTCTTAAACTAAATTAATAAATAATAATTAGCTTATAAAAAGAATTTAGCAATAACATTTACTTACCTTTATTTATTAGACATTAAAATTACATCACTGAGCAACCTCTATAATTTACCTAGACTTTCAGTTAGATTGAGGTATATTATGAATGTGCTTAATTTTGTGTGTAAATACTTGTCGCAAAATAAAATCCTTACATTTGCCTTAATAAAGTACATCAGAAGACAAAAACTAATAAGAGAAGTTTAAAACCAGTTAAACAAAACTGACAAGGTCTGTTTTTCCAACTTTTGATGAAGTTGTTTTACGTTAGAATTAAAATTGGTAATCTTTCTAAAAGTTTATTACTTTGAATCCAAGTACTTTTGACTGTCACTAGTCATTATCAAGAACTGTGTGTTTTGTCCATTTGGGAAAATGTTTGGCCAATTTTTTTTTTTTTTTTTTTTAATTCTGCTGAAAACAGCTTAGTCGGAAAAAAACTTAATAAAAAGTTGGATGGACAGATCTTGTTGGTGTTTTTAAAAAAATATTTAAAAGAATTCTTAATGCATTAAATACACCTTTTATATATATATATATATATATATATATATATATATATACACACACAATCTTATATATAAAGCACAGTAGTGTGTGTGTGTCCAGGCAACTCCTCTGCTCCCACTGGTCTGATTTCAATGATTCATAGCTCCCCACCCAAGATAAAGATCTAATCTATATAATAGACATTTTGATATAATTGTTTAATAAATCTAGTCCGTATTTCCCTAATATTGTAATTGATTTGTTTTTTTGTTTTTTTTTTTTGCAGTTTATCAAACCTTTAAAGCCAAAACATATTTTGTATTGTAAAAATAATTCTTTTCTTGCGAGTGAGCATTGCATTAACAATTTTTGGGATAATAACAATGGTTTTTCCAGACAGAAAATCCTACTATTTAACCCATAGCTGGAGAGAGAGAAGGATTTCTCATTCCGATCCCAATGTCATGAACAACTCCCCATCAAGTACTTACTGATTAACCTTCCAGCCCTCATTTTGTTGTCTTTGGTTTCTTTTGGATGTTTGTACAGGTACATAATTGCTTTTCCAATGCCACTACTTTTCAGGCTGTCAGTACTGATAGGTGGGAACTGAAATGCAAAAGCATTCACAAATATTATACATACACAATTACACTGCCTTTGAAGAAAGAGTTATTACCAGCAATATAGTTTTGAAAAAAAAATTGTTATCAGGGATAATATAATTTCTCCCTCAATTTTGAAGGAATTTTTTTCCATACATACACAATTACACTGGCTTTTCTCTTTCCCTTTAGTGTCAATTTTATCTTTACAATTTAATAACATCAAAAGAAAAAAAAAAAAAAAAAATTCATGTTTCAGAACAGAACCATTCTTCCTAATATTAATGATTTTTCTTATTTTGGATTAAATGAAGCATTGTCAGCTATTACTCATTTTTGAATAGGATTTCTTTCATTGTTTAATCATTAGAGTGAATATTTTGGCATATTTTTTTTTTGATAAATCATCCTTATGATGTCAAAGGTTATGTAAACATTTAATTAAGCTCTTTATTTGCAAATTAATCTGAAACACCCGAATGAAATCAGGTTGCAATATATCACGTGTTTTTGTTTGATGCCCTCTGTACCTCAGGTAGGCAGTGGAATTTTATGAAACTTACAAAGTTTGGAGATGGTTCTTATTGCTTATTACTGGGATGAGTAACCAGTGCAAAATATAGAAGGAATTTAACTTGGATTTAAATGGGATTCTGGAGAAGATGTTTGAGGATAGCTTCATCATCTTGAATTTTCATTTGATGTGAAGCATTGTTAACCATTATTCATTTTTGTTTAGAATTTCTTTCAGCTTTTATTTCAGTTGCATTATTTCCACTAGTAGTATTAGTAGTAATAATATTATCTGGGATTTTTAAGACAAAGCATTGTCAAGCATTATTCATTTTTGACTAGGATTTCTTCCATCTTAATTGTAACTGCTCATGAGAAGTGACCCCCACAACCAGACCTGAACATGGGACTGATAATGACGAGATATAAAAGCAAGCATATGTCAAAATTTTCATTGGATATTTAGTATGCAAACAGATACGGGGAATATTAATTATTTAAATAACTTAATTTTTTCTATAAGCACAGTTTTGTAAGCATGCTTAAATTAGCTTTATAAATTGTTTTTAGCATGTTACAGTAAGATTATTCCCATTATTCAAAGTCTGTACAGGCCCCTAATTAATGCTTCAAAAACAGAGAGGAAATGAAGTTATTGTATAATTATAAAGAAAGATTAAAGGCAGATGACAAAAGGTGGAAAATTATCAGAGTAAAGAAAAATGGAAGTTGTTGATATATTTGCCAAACTTATTGATTTCTTTGAGCAAATATCAATTTTCAATTTCTATTTTGTACATTGAAAATGATAGAAAAGGTATTGTCAGTTGTCAGGAATTCACACTAGCAATACTACAGAATAGGGTTATTATATAGACAAATATTTATTATAGAAATGCATTACAAGTGAGAAAGGGATTGCCAGTAGTAAGGAATGAATGCAAGTGCAACTGACAGAATAGGGCTATTCCATGTACAGCAGATAAACATTTACTATAGAAATGCATTGCAAATGAGGAAGAAAGGGATTATCAGTGGTCAGGAATTAATGCAAGCAATACATTTGCTGATAGTTTTGTTCTTTTACCCTTTTCCTATTTATAGATTGTAATGTAACATTTTTTTATGGATGGGGGACGTATTTTCAAATTTGTAGGAAAAGCATCGAGTTGTAATGTTATTTTGTTTTGTTTACTAATTGTTCAGAATAATCAATTTCTTTCTCTATTATTTATCTTTCAAATATTTTTAACAGCAATAATAAATAAAAAAAAAATGTTCTCATATATTTGATAATTTTATTCTTATTTATTGATTAGGTTCTATTATTGTCATTTAAATTAATAATAATAAGTGGCACATTTAATGATAAACTGTTTATCCCAACATTCAGTGTAAAATAGGTGTTTATGGGTTGTATCATCAGTGGTCGTACTTTTGCTCAGGTGAATAGGGATGCAGAACTGGTACTGGTTCATGGCTAACATCTAACTCTCACACATGGCACCAAGAAGACACATGGGCATTGTGACGACTACACCCTGGTCGATGGCATTGACTTGCCTGCAAAACAGTGTGGGGGTAGTCGGAATGGTTTCTTGACCCAACCAGTGAAGGAGAACGCCTCTCCACAACCCACCTATGCCAAGTGGCCATCAGCTAGTCCTGAGTCTGTGCCTCAGAGGTCAATGGCTTTAACAGTGGGCAGAGGAACGCCTGAAAGGAGGGACGGTGTAATCTCAAAATTTCTAATGCAAAAGAAACTGGCAATCTATTATGCTATTCTGTTGAGATTGTCTCCATTAACCGCAATTACAACAGATATAGGGGGGGGGAACATCAGCGGTGCAAAATGCACTAACTGAAAAAAATGAATGAATGATGGTACAGAACAGAGCTATTATATGTATAACAGATAAACATTTACTATAGTAAATGTTTACTATTATTATTATACATATAGTGGGAATTGTTTCAACTAGAAATATTTACATTGCTAGTTACCATACTGAGGCAGTTGTTAGCCTACTGTGTCCATGGCACAAGCATACTAACCTATTTACCAGTACTGATACACCACAGGATTTAAGGTTAGCTTTTTGTAACTGTTATATTAGACGACCCCCTATTTGCTAGGGTCATTTTTCAGATTTAATGGTTGCCTTGTGTGTGTGTGTGTGTGTGTGTATGAATGATTAATACAAATTCCATTTGTTATTTAATTGGTTGAGGTTATATTCACCACCTCGACTCCATAGTTTTGTAGATGAACATTTTTATCGTTCAGTCTACTTGTCAAGGTTTCAAGAGGCAATTAACTGCCATTTCTCTCATTTTTCATTATCGTTATATATTACTTCAAGTGTTATTTTTAATGGATACCCGTTATTTGAGTAGGTATATTTTAAGTGTGTGTATGTAATTGATAAATATTTATTAACTGCAAATGAAGAATAAAGGGATTGTCAGTTGTCAAGAATTAAAGCAAGCATCACAGAATAGAGTTATTATATGTAATACAGATAAACATTTACTATAGAAATGCATCACAAATTGTAGGAGATAGATTCATACCTTACTCAAGGGTATTTGTGTGTTTTTCCTGCCTTTTGAACAGGAGTAGAGGTTTATCTCTAGTTTCCTGTTTAAGGCTGCTTTTCCTAGTCTTCTCATTTTCTTTCATCCCCAGTAACCCCTTGCATCTTAGTGGCATTATCACCTTACTTGGGGTGAAATTATTAAAAAAAAAAAAAAAAAAAAAAAAAAAGGGATGGTAATGAACCTAACCAGAGTTTGATGTTGGCTTTCCAATTTTTCATTCCAAGTCCCTAACCATTACACCACCCACATATTACCCCAGATAGTCAAGGCATTTACTTGAAAGTACTAATAAAATGTGAACACATTTCAAAATGTAGCTACTTGTTATTGATGATGAATAAAGATAATTTTCAAAACTTTGGCATCACATACTTGATAAAGAAATTCATACAAATTGCATGAACATGGATGCAGCATTTCTAGAATTTTCTCTCTTAGTCACAATTATACAGATTTCTTGATGCCTTTCTTAAAAAGGACAGAAGTGACAAAAAACAATTACCACTCACTTCAATGAGAATTTTTAAAAAACAGTCTCTGATCGCTAGATGAGGCAAGCTTCGGTCTGGTAGTGGGGCTAACCATTCCTGCAAAAACAGAAAAAGATGCATTAACAAGAGAGGAAAAATTTGCAGCAATAATTTTACCACTGATTTTTTTTTAAATTGCCACACACAAAAAAAAAAAAAAAAAAAAAAAATTAAGAAAGAATATAAAAAAAATTTCATAAAAGAGGTAAGAAAAATGTACAGAGATATAAAAGATGCAAAAGAGAATATATATATATATATATATATATATATATAAAAGAAAGTGAAGAATGAATGTCAACAAATGTCAAAAATAAATGTTAAAATAATGTCCTACCAAACACTATTGTCAAAAAACTGTTTTCCAAAAAGTTAGAAAAAAAAAAAAAAAAAAAAAGACTATTACATCTTATTACTACTAGATAGAAATAAGACAAAAGAAATACTCAGAATTTAATAATAGTGTAGAGATGTAGAAAGCTATTATTTCACTTGTGACAATATGAATTTACTGATGTCTTAAGGGGTCAGTTGCCAGCCTGTTGATGAGGATACCCAGTTGCAGTTTATCTCCTGATGGAGGCAGATGTAATACCCAGTGGTGGCTTACCTTCCAATAGAGACAGATGTGATACCCAGTTGCTGTTTGGTGAATGAGAGAATACCATGTATCCTAAATGAGGAACATAAATAACCAGGCTGGCAATGTATCCCTCTTGAGGATGCTAAAAGTAAGATCTTTTTATTTGGCTTTTCACATATTCTTTGCATTTTAGTATTTGTTTCAATTCATCCATGTGGGACAAATTGTAACTATATATATATATATATATATATATTATAGCAAAAAAAACAAAAATTACCTCAACATCGGAATAGACTATTTCAAACGGCTTTCGTCAACCACTAAGTACTTGATTTGGGAGTGGCTGATAAGAGCTGTTAAAAGACAGTTTGAAATAGTCTATTCCAATGTTGAGGTAATTTTTGTTTTTTTGCTGTCAAAAATACATATGCTCTGTTAAAATAAAAACATCAATCTCTCTGTGGTTTTTGATTGATTGATTGATTGATAGTGATTTACGGCTTATAAAACTCAACTGGTTATTTAATGCCAACAAAATTTTTATTGCTGGTAATATTTTTCTTCAAAAAACTATTTCTAGCAATATCCTTCCTTGTAAAATTAATTGCAAGTAATATTTTCCAAAAATGTATTGGCTGCGATGTTTTGCCAAAAATGTATTGTTTGTAATGTCCTTCCAAGAATGTATTGCCGGTAACACCTTTCCAAAAACACATTGCTGGTAATATTCCTTTACGAAACTATGCTAATAATATATTTCCTTCAAAATTGAGGGAGAAATTATATTATCCACGATAACAATTTTTTTTTCAAAACTATATTGATGGTAATAACTCTTTCTTCAAAAATACATTGCTGGTCATAATTTTTCCTCCATAAAAGTATCGCTGGTAACCAAAAATGTATTGTTTGAAATAATTTTTCTTTTCAAACTAGGTTAGGAAAACAAGAAAGCAGATTTAGCAAACTATTTTTTTTTTTTTTGTAGATCCCAATTTCTTTAATGAAATTTATAATGTTACGTGGATGAAGTGTCCATATTTTCTATTTTTGTATATTTTGTTTCTTTCTTAGGTTTTCTTCTTTGAACTTCTTTTATTTCTGCTCATTTGTTTGATTTTGTTCCCTTAGTTTTTCCAATACGTTCTTTTAATGATCTTTGTATAGATGATGACCATTCCCTTGTTCTTGATGGGCTAAAGTTTTGTTCCTCTATGTTCATTTCTCTTGATTCTTCACTAAAAGTTGTGTTATTTTATTTTATTTTTTTTTTATGTACCTTTTGATTCTCTTGAGCATGTTTAAAAGGTTTCTAGTTCTTGGATTTTTGTACTTTGGTTTAGAATTTTTGGATTTAATTGTTAACATGTAGAGACTTTTTTTTGTTTGAGGTTGACAGGACAGGATTTATTTTTTTTTATGGGCGTTTAACTTATGAGTAATATACTACATTTTAGTAGTTCTACTAAACTTTTTAATTTGTTAATATGAGTTATAAGAGCTTGGCTTCTTAATGCATTGTTTTCTTGGACGATTTTTGTTGATTTGATATTTTAGTGATATTTGCATATGATGCTTGAAGTGAATTAGATTCAACCTGTTTTCTGGTTTCTTGGAATGAGATAATTTGCTTGTATTTTCTTCTAATTATTTTCATTTCCTTTTTCCAAACTTTACACTCTTTGAAGTCAGCTGAATTTTTTTCTTTACAGTTTGGACATAAAGAAGGCCTTTCACAAGGTGACTCATCATGCTCAGTTTCCAGTTCCCCACATCTGATATTCTCGTACAAACATTTTGAAGATGACCAAACTTTTGCCATTTATGACATTTACAAGGATTAGGAATGTATGGCTCTACCTTGGCTATTGTATAACCTATCTTTATTTCTTTTGGTAGAGTCGGTTTGTCAAATATCAAAATATATGTGTTGGTGTTTATTACCGTGTCTTTTCTTTTTACTTGCATTCTTTTAACATGTTACTTCTTGCTTTTTTAGAATGTCGTCATTTTCAATTTCTTCTGATGAACAAAGTGACAGTTCTAGGCATTTTATTACTCCTTTTGATGAATTAAGAAATTGATGAGGGTAGGCCTTGACTTTATTGTTGTCAATTTGCTTGATTTTTGGCAATTTCTCTGCGTCTTTTTTGGATATCACTTGATTTAATAGAGTATTATTTTTCTTTATTTTTTTTAACAGATTGTGGTTTGATCATGTCTGAAATAACCCTTTGCAACATGAAAGGAGACACATTTTTATATAATCACCCTCTAATGATTCTACAACAATGAAAGTTGGAAATTGATTTTTCTATTTTCAATTTCAAAAGTCTCATATTGCCCCTCGTTTCGCTTATAAGAGATAGCCACATAATTTTAATTTTTCTATTCGCTGTCTGTGCTCCCCACCCACCTTGGAGTTTCTTCTGAAGGGATGCTATCAGGGTTGGGACTAATCCCATTCGACCTAATCCGCCAGGGCTACACAGACAGTATAGTTGTGATGAGTGGATACAAGCACCCGCACTCCCCCACCATATCCACCCAAGTATAGTATGATATAAGGTTTCATGGACCTGTTGGACCCATTATCTATCATCCCAACTAGCCCTTGCCACTGTGACTAGCCGATTGGAATGGAGTGGGCTATTCCATCCGCCCATCTATCCCAGGTAGGGACCGAAGTAAAGTATTGTGGAAATTCCTGGTCGTTTTATACCAGATCAGGATTCAAAGAGTCACCAGGATTCCATCCCAAGGCATCACGGGTCACCACACACGGCAAACGGGTGACCCCATTTAGGGGAAGTTTTAGTTTTTTTAAATTGGGTTTTGTGAATGTGCACTTTATATACTGCAATTTGTGTTGATGGTATTACATTATTATTACAAAAAACCCTTTCTACACTTTCCTAGTATTCCAACTCCAGATCAAGGGAGGGGGGAAACTATTTACCCATAGCTGGGACCCTAACGTGTGCTACCAATTAGTGGATATGGATATATATATATATATATATATATATATATATGTGTGTGTGTGTGTGTGCACACGACCAAGTGGTTAGAATGTTCGCATTCAGACCATGAGACCCAGGCTCGAATCTCACCATAGTTGATTTGTCAGGTAGGAGACTTCCTGATGTCATCAGCCAGGAGGTGGTGATCTCAGCGTGCAGCACCTTTGGAAAGTGCCTGAAAACCATACCACGGGTTGACCAAAGCTTTGTGATTGAAATTGGGTAGATGGAGGGTCGCCAATGATTGTGCTAGCACAAAGACACAAGTCATCATGACTGAGGTTTTGAGTGTGCTGGCCTTGTTCTGATTGTTGAACGAGCTAGATAACATGCTCTCTTCCAGAAATTGTAACTAAAAATATCATAAGTCCAATGTTGTAATTCCTAGGGTCAAAAATCAGTCTTGCAAATTCAACATCAGAAAATGCCAGGGGCATAAATAAAAAAGGTAAGTAATCCATAGCACAACTACGTTCTTCACCCACGAAAAGCCAAGCAATCCTGTGGTCAAAAGTAGCCTTCTTTTATTGGGATAAGAAAAGTTGTTATTGATAGAGACTAGTAGAGAAGCGCAAACAATTACCATATTTCGAGGCCTACTAAAGTCGGACCAAGCTTGATTTGGATTTTCTTTTTCAAGATGACACAAAGAACACGTTTTTTTTTTAGGGTAAGACTCATTATGCAAGTATAACTCAGTTTTGGAATTAATATATTTAGGTTATTTCTTCTGTTGTGTTAAGATGTTAGTATATCACGGATATATTAATGAGAGAGTGGAACAAGATCAACATATTTTCTCTCTCCTTCCAAGTAACCCTATTAGTAGTATTAGACATTAGGAGAAATAAACTATTCAAATTAAATATCTTTCTTTTTTTTTTTTTTTTTTTTTTTAATCTATTGTTGAGAGGAACAAGAGGCTAAAAACTTTAGAAATATGAACATAAAAGCAAAAAGCAAAAATAAATGCAAAATATAAAACAACATTGAGATCAAAAGCAACCAGAAGATGGAAGATAAATTTGTCAACTATTAATAGCAGGCTTTTTTTTAGATTGTTCAATAAAACTAATTTTGTTGGAGAAGGAAAACAGAAAGCATCAAATTGGTCAATACTTACTGTCATGGCACTGAGAATACCGCAGTCCAGGAAGGCAATATGGAGATCGGCTCTAAATAAGAAGAAAATTGATTTCCATAAATGGGAAGGAAAATAATACAGGACCATTATATAAGCTTCAGAAAACAAATGAATATAATGATTGAGAACAGGAAATTAAATTGAAGCAGCAGATAAATATTTTTTGCAGTTTTTATCGATTGATTGATAGTTCAGGTGTGAGTATCATCAAAAAGGCAGTATAAATTATTTTATTGTATATTAAATAATGACTTCATCTCCGAGTATTTTAGACTTAAATCTCGATTTATATTTTCATTTTCTGTTTCGGCTTTTTCTAAAATTAACAAATTTTTCAATATACTATTTTGTAATTTGTCTTTCTAGTGTCTTTGTTTATCTAACATTTTATATATTTAAAAAGCCATTAATATTTTATGGTTTCTAAAACATGTAATGTACATGTTTATATAAGTACATTATATACTGGGTGTAACAGCAAAATTGTCCAATTATTAGATTAAGCTTTGAACCGTTGTATCTTAGAAATGATTAAACATATCTTACTGGAATTCTCCAAGGTTTTTATAATACTATTGGACTACTTTGAACAATAAGAATGCATTTAGCTTTAAGTTGAAATGATGAACCCTCTTCCTGTTGTGATTTCCTTATCCAGTTTCCCTCTCTACTGTCCCCTCTTTTCTAAACTTGTTCACCATTCTCTTGATGGTTCTTGAATGGACTTTGAAGATGGAAGACAGAGTATGAATGTTGGTACCATTACTGAAGGATCTTTTCCCTCTCACCATTGCTCAGTTGGGAAGACAGTGGGGCTGACACAAAATGATTTTAACCAGTTCTCTTTTTAGCTGAATAACTCAAAGGTTTTTTCAGTGATTCTTACGACAGATGGTGTCAAGATGGCTAAACATCTTATCTGAAAACCTGGAAAAAAGAAGCTCAATTAGTTTAGTGTTTTTTTTTAGATAGTAAACTTTTTGTGGGATGGACAATTATCTCATGCTGTTACACAATTTGGACAATTTTGCTGTTACACCTGGTATGCTCTAAAGGTCATCATAGCTGGGGGCAATAGTAGGCACAAGCTCTCACTGTCTATAAAATTTTTCTTTTTGAAAATAATGATTTTCCCCAAATTCAAGTCCTGCTATTTAACCCATAGGTGGGGGGGATTCATATCTTTCCCAAAGGCATTTTCATGTAAGTTAATGTAACAGACCCAGATGGAATTTGAACTTAGCTTTCTGATGTCTCATTCTGAGCTGCTATGCATTACACCACCCACACATCAGAGAGAGACAGAGGCAGAGAAAAGCCACTTTATTTACTTACAGAGTGGACATGAGAAGGCTGTAGAATGAATTGGCTGAAACCTAACAACACAAAGAACAAATTTGATTGTCCAGACAACTTAGAATAAATACAATTGTAATTTAGTAATATCAGGACAAGTGTGCGTGTGTGTGTTGCTTATATAGTTGAAAGGTGTAAAACTGCACAACGAAAAAAACCATATTCAACAATCCTTTACCATAGTCCAGTGATAAACCTCCAAGTTTTACTAACCAAGTGTGGATGCACTCCAAAAACATGACCTTGGATCAAACTTGACATAATACTTGTTAATGGTTTATTTTGTTTTACAGCATATCAACCTCAATGGGTTACGTAATGCTGACAAGATTTTTAGGATAGATTTGTATGAATAGAATATGCATTCTTTGTAAGAAATCAGTTTGTAGATCAGGTTTCATTAACATATTTGTTAAGAGGGTTTTTGTTGAGAGTCAAATCTATTACTGGCATTTTTTTTTTTTTTCTTTCCAAAAATGTACTTTTGGTAGTTTTACTACAAAAATCTATTTTTATACTTTCATAGTGTTTTAAGCCAAGTTTGGGGTTTAACTATTTGCCCTAGGACCCTAACAGGTGCTAACACCCCAATACTCTGTTCAAAACATTTCCCAAAACCTTATCAAATACAGGGTGGGTGCATCCCCAACCAAATTGAAATCATTTTGTAGTCTAATAACATTGCCAATTCTTGCTCAAATGAACTCAAATTTTAACAAAGTGCAGACTTAATGAGAATCTATCAAGAAGATGGCTCGGGCATGTCAGTGATAATGACAATGTACTATTGAACTGGCCACTAAGTTCACCAGACTTGAAACCTTCTGATTTTTTTTTCTTTCTATGAAGCTATGTGACAGGTCTATATTTCGCCTTATCCTACAAGCCTAGAGGAACTTAAGCAAGAGAATCACTGAGGTATTGGAGAATGTTATGCAAGACATGCTACAGCATGTTTGGCAGGAGCTGGACTACCGACTTGATGTATGTCATGTCACAGGTTGTTTGTATATTGAACATTTGTAAAATCGGTTTATAAAATCTACATCCCTTTGAATATCTTGTCCGAATTTTGATAAATAATCTTTTATTGTTCAACATGAAGCCTATTTAATTTAATTTCCTGGGACATGTAGTCACTCAGATATTCACATTTTAAATTATATCAATTTTGCGGGGGACACCCTGTATTTTGAGTGGGGTGTGTCCTTTTTTGGCTGAGATCTTTCCAGTATCCCCCTCATTTAATGTGACCTGGCATAGTTTACAATCTGAAAACCTTGGATTTTCAAATTCCACAAATGGTTAATTATTAGAAATACTTGATTATCTGTACTGTTAAAATATTGTAGTGATGCAATTTCTCACACATCCTTAGAAGATGAATAAATAGATACTTTTTCCTTTTAACTTAATTTAATGACCAGCGTTTTTCAGGAATCTTGACTCCAGCCCATCTTTGAATTATTGAACATAAAATTTTGTTAGTGTTTTCACATACATGTTTACATTAAAAGTAAGGTCCTTTGAAAGACTGACCACCCAAAATCTGTCTGGGTGGTCCCCCTTTCCAGTTGGTGGAACATAAGTGGATGGAAAGGGTGGTGGGTCTCCCAGCCAGTATCCATATAATGAATCAGACAGTAAAGAAGCAGTCAGTGAAATGGTCAGGCAGTGAGTGTGTAGGAGTTCATTTTCCATGGCTGGAAAAAGTTTGCTTTCTCATTGTAGAAGGAAGACATTGCCGACTAAGTGAGAAATCTTTTTTCCTTTTTGCTACTTCTCGACAAAACAAGTGTCTTGAAAAGGATTTGTCTCTATTGTTTTGTTGACGGCAGTCACTGCCCTAATATTAGTCAGCGAAACAAATCTGTAGAACATAGCGAGCATTGGTGTATTTGCATACAGCTGACCTTGGGTGTCATCACAGCTGGTGCAGTGATGTGAATAATTGCATTAACACAATATTATGGTAATATCTGGCAATTGAAATTTACTTGTAGAATGTCAGAAACTATGTTGCTTTGCATTTTCAAGAAATAATGAACCAAAACAAAATAAAAAAAAAAATGAAAACAATAGTTTGGATTTGTAGTAGTTTGCTGCTGTAGTCAGCTTATGAAATTTTTACTTTTTATATTCGGAATAATTTTAGGTTATTTAATTGAACCAAATATAAGATTTATTTATTTTTCTTCGAATTTGCTATATCATTGTTTTTTTTGCAAAATATATTTTTTGTGTAAAATTCACTAAAAAAAAAAAAAAAAAAAAAAAAGGAATTGTGGTCTGGTCACTTGGAAGTTTATTAAACATTTTTCATTTAAATTTAATATTCTTCTATGAAATTTTTTTTTTTACTATTTCACCCAACTCAAGGCAATAAAGCCACTAAAATGCTGGTGGGGGGGGTTACTGAATGTTAGAGAATATGAGAAAAAAAAAAAAAACATTAAGAGTGAAGAATAAAAGAAGAATTAAGAAAACAGAAGATAACGATCGACACTGAATTTAAAATTTTGAAAATCAGAGTTGATTGGACAGCAAGAAGCTGGAAGAGAGTTCCACAAGAGAGAAGTGCGATAGAAGAAACTTATGGTTATGTTGTGCCATTTCAACTGTAAAGTAATGAGATCTTACCACCAATCTATTACTGCACTTAAATTCATAAAGTCTCGGTACCACAGAGGAAATCTCATCAGAACAATTATTGTGAAAGTATTTATAGAAAAAGGGACAAGGAAACTATGTTACAGCAGTAGGAAAGTGACTGAAGTTGAGATGACAGGTCAGCACCAATAACATTGCAGATTCTTTGGATTTTATCAAGACTCTCTAAATATATAGCAGGAGCACCAGACCATATGTGGTAGCAATATTCAAAGCAAGAATGAATGGTAGACTTATAGATATGTAAGATGGATTCAGGCGAGAAAAATTGTCTCACACGACACAGTGAACAAACCTTTTTAGCAGAACTTTATTCTATTTTATTCATAAAAGCAAATACACCGATAAACTTTGATTTGTTTTGAATTTTTTTTTTTGCAAAATCTGTATTTCTAGACGAAAAATCATTTATTAATCCAATTTTCTCTAGCTTTTCTTACAAATGTTATAAAGTCATTTGCAAAAAAATGTGAATTTTAATGTTTTGCTGTTTCATGTTACCAGACTTTTTCTGCAAAAGACTTTTCCCTTGATTTTATTTTTACACAAAGAAATTTATTTAAAAATGCCATTTGCCACATAAATTAATCTAATATTTTTCTATATGCTATTCATAGTAAATATAGATAAAACAATTTTTTTATGACTAATTTATATTTTTCTTTCTAAAAGGGTATTTAAAACAAGAGTTTTAGCTTAGTATTTACAAAACAAAGTAGAAACAATTGTAATATTTTTATGCTATAAAATTAATGAAATAGTAATTTATTAAGAATGTTGTGTAACTTTTCTTCCCAAATTTCTGAAATTCAAATATTTTGAAATAGGCTTCCAGTTCAAGCCCTTAATTGCACCATGAGTAGACTTGAAGTGTAGAACACCATGCATTTAACAAAGACTAAAGAAAATAGTAACTTACTTTTTTAATTGAGAACTAACAAATGGAAGATATTTTAATTTCTTTGTGGCGGCTTTCTTGTTTGTGTTCAAATCTCGGTCCTCCTGGGGAAGAAAAAGGAGAACAAAAAAAACTTTACGTACAATCTGAAAACAAATACAAACATAGGGAATAGCTTTTGTTGAATCAAGAGAATATCTATAAAATGTTATGCAATACTTTTTATTTTGAATGCCATGTCACTTGAACACATAGGCAGTCATGGTTCTCCACTATTTCCTTTTTTTGTAAATATGAGTGAATTGTCATAACTTCTTGAGAAAGACAGTGAAAAGGTTTCCACATTGCTTTCTCCATGGTTTTGAAGTCATAGTAGTCTGTTGGAGTTAGCTACTCCTTAATTCCCAAATTGTCACTAGGGGTCATTCTCCCCATACTGTAAATACTGGGCAACTTCTTGCCTCGTTCTCCTTTTCATTTCAGTGACTACAATGTAGGCTCTCTTAGGAGATCTGCTTCTTCCCATTTGTGGGAGACGCCATGAACATTATACACACATACATTTAATTTAAACATTCACAAAGAACAGACACAAATGTTCACACACACAAATATTATTGTCTATGTCCATTTGTAAAATTGTTTTATTTTTTGTATATATATATATATATATATATATATAAAATCTTGGTCTTGTTTGTCATCTTTATCTTCATTTGGACTTAATTCAAGTCCGGCCATTTTTCATTTTTCCTCTACAAGTCCTCCAAGATATTTAACCAATATCTGCAGGAAATAAGAGATGAGTTCATGCCTTTTGCAAGTGAACACAACAGACTAGGACAGAATCTGAACTGTGTTTGCTGATCCTATTTTCTGCCCCAATAGCTGTTACCCTACCTGTACATTCCTTGTATGTAAAAACTGTTCTTTTTTTAATGAAAAGAATCAAAGATATATTAATGCTGAACATTAAAAAGAAAAAAAAAATGGACACATTATATATAAATTGTTGATGCGATTTAGATGGACGTGTAGGTGGTGTAATGGATATTGGCTCAGAATGAGAAATCGGGAAGCAGAGTTCAAATTCAAGTTGATTTTATTATATTCGCTTACGTGCAAATACTCTTGGGAAAAGAATCAATACATCTCTTCTCCCCAAAGCTATGAGTTAAATAGTAGGACATCCTTGGTTGCCAACCAGATTAAAAGATGGAAAAGTCTGTATTCAAAAGCATATATTGCCATGACAAAGAACATACTATGCAGCTAATGAAAGGATCATGGAATTCATAATGATTAGGATTGCAACTGCAATTGATCTGATGATTTTTATATATATATATATATATATATATATATATATATATATAGATGAGAATATGACAGAATATTAAATATAGAAGACAAGTTGGAAAACCCTTTTATATATATATATATATATATTTTTTTATACATGCTTTGCTGATCAAACAGCATCATCAGAAAATGGATTTTATTCCAACCAAATCTACATTGGCAAGACAGAACAGGATTCAAGTTTGACATATGAATGCTGAAGATTTTTTTTCTTTAAACTATCACTTTTTTTTCAAATATTTTACTAAATTTCAACTCCCCAAATAATGTAGTAATGTGGGAAGGAGTTAAAAGATTTAGTCACAGAAACAATAATGATGAGCAGAAAGAAAAAAAAAAAAAAAAAGAGTAATCAGGAGGACAGTAGATAGCGATTGACATTGCATTTAAATTTTTGCAGTTTAAAGTTGGCTGGAAATCATGGAACTGGAATGAAGTTTGACAAGCGAGAAGTGCGAGAGTAGAAACTGTTAGGATAGAATTTGCAGTTACATCTAGCCAACTCAACCCTAAATTGATGAGATCTTGACGCCAGTACTGCGCTTAAATTCAAAAACTCTAGGTACCATAGCCAAAAGCTCATTCAAACAATTGCCATGAAAGTATTTATAGAAAAGACAGAGAGAGGCAACCTTATGGTGGTGGGAAAGTGACTAAAGCCAAACTGCCAGATCAGGACCAATAATATTGCAGATTCTTCTTTAGATTTTATCAAAGAGCTCAAGGTAAATAGCGGGGGAAGAAAATGTGAGCATAGAACTTACACTTACATCTATTTTAACTGTAAAATGATGAGACCTTGTCACTAATCTAGTACTGCACTTAAATACATAAAGTCTAGGTACCATAGTGAAGAGCTCATCCGAACAATTATCATGAAAGTATTTATAGAAAATGCACAGAGAGGCAACCTTACAACAGTGGGAAAGTGGGCTGAACTACTGGATCAGGACCAATAATATTTCTTTTTGGGATCTTATCAAAGTGTTCATAATAAATAGCAGGGACATCAAACCATATGTGGCAGCAATATTCTAAGCATGGATGTGTGTGTGTGTGTATATATATATATATATATGTATTAGTCATAAATTTGTTTACAATTAAAATCTATTTTAATCATGTTTCAATTTCTTCAACCTCATTCACTATTTCCAAGTCCATCATTATTTTGTTCTAAAGGTAAAAATAATGCTATCTCTGTTTAAGTATATATATTTTAATGTGGATAAATCAAATAACTAGATATTAGCAACCATATATACATGTGTTAGCGTGCATAAACAGGTAAGCGAATAAATATTTACTCAATTCAAGTCATGGACACGTGGCTGTTGATTCCATTGAGGGGTGGGGTTGGTGGGTGGAAATGACTGTGGAATATAAGTACTAGAATAACAAAGACATTATATTTTGTTTTGTATTTAGGATTAAAATTATAAAGCAATTCCATCTGTCCAACAAAAAAAAAAAAAAAAACAAATCTCTTCAAATGCTTGACTGGTCTAAGACCAGTCATCCTCCAAGATAGAAAGTAAACTCACACACAATGTTTTTATGTAGATTTTATACAGTAAATATTTTTGAAAGTTCATTTTTTGGCATGTTTTGTTGATCAAACAGTGCCATCAGAAAAATGGATTTTATTTCAACTAAATCAACATTTGCTTGACTGAACTTGATTCATGTTGGTTGTATGAATACTGGATTTTCTTTATTTAACTGTATCGCTTTTTAAATTAGTTTTTACTCATTTTAACTTAGTTTTTTTTTATTTATATATTCATTTGTTTTAAGACTTTCTATATCCGATAGTTTCAATACCAGTTTAGAAAAAACAGTTGGCTATATATATATATATATATATATATATATATATAAAAAGGCTTAAACACCAATATTCCTTGGTTATAATTTATTACATTGGAATCGTAATTACGATCCAATTCATCAGACCTACAAATTCAAAAAGAAAACAAAAAAAAACTCTGGGAATAAAAAATAAAATTTAGTGAGAGGTAAATGAAAGCTTTAGAGAGAGGTAACATGAGAGAAGAACAGGAAGGCCTAAAAGTGAAGGTGGGGATTAAAATTTAACAGAGAGAAGTTTTAAAGAGATGGGGTTAAAAGACGGTTTAAATAAGTGAGATACAGATAAATATGAATTATTTTCCGATGCATTATTCATTATAGAACCGCTGACCTAAATTAAATTAAAAACCGACACCGGAAATGGGTGTATACATTTATAGTGACACTATGCACAACAAAAGACGATATAATCTAAACTTAAAAAGCAAAAGGTGAGAGAGAGAAAAGAAAAGAAAAAAAGGGGGAAGATGGGGAGGGTGCAACTAAAACCGATGGGCATTTATAAAAGAGCCGATGTGCAATCAAGAAAATTTGACAAAAGTAATATCAACTACAGGTAACAAATTTAATATAAACATATAAAATATAACAAATATTTATTCTAGCAAGGACCTACTATTTCTATGCCCAAAAAACACCTGCATATATACACAACATACTTATATTTACACATACATACATATACACGTATACACACACACACACACACACATCCACTCCTGCATATATATACATCTATGCAGATATACCTATGGACATACACAAACGTGCACATAAACATATATACATAAAACCTTACACCTCCATACATTTACATACACACACTCATCTAAACAAATATACAATGTATGTATCTATCTATCCATATATACATAAACCTATATACATATGTATACATGCATACCTAAATACACACACACACACACACACACGTGTATCTAAATTAAAAGGTAAAAAATTCCTAAAAATTTTAAAAATTAAAAAAAAAAAAAAAAAAGCACATTCATCCATATATACATTTAACATATAAAAATAGATGGGAGGAACTAAATTAATTTGTACTTAAAAAAAACTACTGAGGAAGAAAACGTTAACAATATTAAAAACCCACGGAGTGATTAACATGTATATATCTCTTAAGTTTACATATATACCTAAGTATATAAATATCAGAGAACTATCAGATTTTGTATATCAGTTATTTAGGAAAACTTTTACCTACATACCCACATACACATATATCAACACATGAATAAAGTTTGCTAACCCAAAGTAAATGATCAAAAAATATACAGAGCATCACATAAACGTACACAATGATACATACAGATAATCATAAGAGTGATTCCATTTAAATATCATGTCCGATGTTAGTGATCCAAGATCGAAGTGTTACAGATAACAACACGTTATAAAACTGTGTTTATGTTTTAAATCGTTTTTTATGTCTACATTTGGAAATGACCTCACTACGAAGATTTAGCAACTCATCTTGATTTTTATCTTTAATAATAAAATTTTTTTCCGCAATGCACAGATCACACCGATCGCGGAAGTTATTAGGGGTTCTAGCTCTTGATAAGAATCTCCATTCGAAATGCAGGGTTAGTCCCTTATCCACCAGATCCCAGTTGTGTTTGGATAAGGAAGTTTTATTTTTAAGGCATCGATATTTAAAAGAGCGATTATGGTTGTATAGACGCTGCTTCCAATCACCAGTAAATATACCTATATATATATCTTTTTTTCTGGTTGATATTTTCTTCGGGGAAGATTGATTCTTTTGTTTTATTAGGGATCTTTCGGAACCATTTAATAGATTTCATAGATCATTGCACTTTCATCTGAATAAATTATCTTCAGCTTTTTTAGCATTTTCCAGGATCACAAGAGATTTCAGTGATACACCACAATGTTTGTTTTTTTTTTTTTTAAACTTCCAAATCATTTTTACATTCGTATATTATTTGCATAAAGTTTTTCCATATTGTTTTATATATTTACCAATTGCTAGTGTGTAAATGTAACTAGCAATTGAAATGTAGAAAAAAAAAATTGTCAAGGATAGGTGAAAGGTTAAGTAATTACCTCAGCAGCTATTTTCATCTTCTGTACCATATCAGCGATCAGGTCATCATTGTCATTGATGATATCAACATCTTTCCGTTTCCTACGGCTTGCCTGTCGTTCAGCCTTCTTTCGCTCTAACATAACATCAAAGTCAGACACAAAATCCCTGGGAAAAAAAAATAAAATACAGGAGGACAGTAGTTAGTGAAAGAGAAGCTAGTTTATAGATTTCAAAATTCATATTCCTACACAAGGGGGGAGGGGCAGAGGAGACTAAGGCATTGAGAAAACTGCTAGCATCAGCAGAAAGAAACTATTTTATTTTGACAGAGAAAGAAACAATTGGTAGAGAAAGCTTTGGATTAAAACAAAACAAATTTTTGACAGAGACTTACTCTCTTTGTGAATCTCGAATGTTTTCATCATTTTCATCATCAGACATTTCGGGTAGGATTTCGCCATCATCAGCAGGAGCCGAATTTTCCACATCATCATCTACAGAAAGTTTTTTCTCTTTCTTCTTTGGAGCAGCTTCCACATCAGCTTCACCAAAACCCTGTCAGTTATGAAAATACCAAGAGGAGCATTTAAAAGCCTTTATGCAATGGAACCTGGACAATTCTGCACATAGATACATACATACATTGTTATATTAAGTCATGGAAAACAGGACAGACTCAAGTTTGAGAGAGAGCTGACACGAAACGTGACCAGCATTTATTAGGCACCAGAAGAAAAAGGAAGAGAAAGAGGTTAGGGAGAAAAGGGACATATTGGAGTAAGAATCACGTTCCTTAATGTTGAGCAGGGAGCATACATTAAATTGTAATGCAAAGGGAGTATACATTAAACAATAATGTAACATACTTTCATGCACACATACACAGACAACCATTTTATTTATATATATATATATATATATATATATATATATATATATATTGTATTAAAAGGAATCATTTGGTGACTTATTACCTAACACAATTTCACCGCAGGCTTGTCTTGTAAATACCAGGTTTTTTTTTTACATTATGCTGGTTGTTATAAAATATTAATTTTCATATAGTTTTTTTTTTTTGTTTTATGTATTGTCTTTTTGTGTTCAATGTCGCTTTTTATAGCAATGTGCGGCACTAGTTATGAGGCAGTGTTTCAAAACCACACATTAACATCCCATTACTTACGAGCCTTAGGTTAAAGTGCACTAGCAAATAAGTCATCAAACTATTCCTTTTAATATGATCCTAGATTTCTGTTATACATTGAGACTTCCATTATTTTTAATTATTTGTCTTATAAAGTCTTTTAGAAAATAAAATTTCTCATACAAAAAAATTACTGTTTATTCAATTTTAGTCTTCATCAATATCATGTTATTTTGCAGGGTTTTCTTTGAACATAGATTCTTCTTGTTGCAAGGATGTGAGAGAGCCTACAATTTCCCCTCTCAGGTGAATACTTATATATCTTCCTATCATCTGTTTGTCCCATGTGTGCACATCCTAAGCAGTTGGGTCAATCACCTGTTTACATGTTGGAGGCAGCCACTGATATCTAGTGAAGGCTAAAATCTGCACCTCATGGCTAGGAGGTCATCTTCCAGGTCAACCTGATGATACACCTGGTTTCTCTAATAATTTGGTGTAATGAATGCAAAGTTTATTTTACTATTATCTGGGGGTGAGTCCAGTACATACTGGAGTCATCACAGAACAACCTCTCTTAGAACAAAGGTTGCTTATTGACAGGAAAGACCATCTGGTATTTCGTGGAGTGAATCACACATTTTAAAAAGGGGTCCATAACATAGCTGCTGGTGCCATGTCATGTGGTTGCAGAGGCTGGTACATGAGCCACAAACTATGGCAAGCTTGTTTAGAGTGCTTCGGTTGTCCATAGAGAACTTGGTGAGGCAGGCAGTGGTCAGGTATGTGAATGGTATGCCGTATCCAGTACATTTGTTAGCATCTGTTGCTTTACACAGATGATGTGTGACATATTTATGATCTTAGTGTAAGACATTCATTGCTTCCAGGACCAGCATAGAATTTTTTGAAGGCACTGAATGTGAAGAGTTTCTAAGCTTGAGATTTTTTTTTTTTTAATCATTTCACCCCAAGCAAGGCAATAATGGCTCTAAGACGCAAGGCATTATTGAGAGTGAAAGAGAATGAGAAGACTTTAGAAGAGACCAGAAACCCAATCTTAAACAGGAAACAAGGGATAAACATCTACTCCTGTTCAAAAGACAAGGAAGGAGTGTGAACTGGATGAGAGATGAACCTACCAATATAAAAATTTAATGATCAATCCATTCATTGAGGCAAAAGTGAAATGAGTTCAAATCTCATATAAGGATTATCTTTTATTTCCTGTTGGTGTCATCTATTTGCTGTTTTAGAATTAAATAAAAGGCTCTGTTCAAAATTACTTGAAGGTTACCTGGATTGGCAGACACCTGTAGAAAGCTGTAGGGCACAATTGCTGAAACATTGTCATAACAATTCACCCAAAGCAAGGCGATAATGCCATTAAGATACAAGGGCCTACTGGGAGTGTAAGAGAATGAAAAGACTTTAGAAAAAAACAGAAACCTTTACTCCTGTTCAAAAGGCAGAGAAAGAGAGTGAACCAGGGAATATGCCACTTGTAATTTTCTGACTCATTAAGGAGGGTGAACACACACGCATTATTTTGACTTTATTCCAGTAAAATAGTTAACACACAAAAATATAAGGAGACAAAAACAATAAAAATTTTCCTTTCTTTTTCTGTATTGATTATTTTGACTTCATTCACATATAGCCTTCCAGGCTGGCTTGTCAAGAACAAGAGAGTACAAGTCTGTTGTGGTGTATGAGCTGAACTAGGTCTTTAGTATATCCCACAAAGCATGTTTTTAGACTTCTGACAGTCCGTTTACAGTCCTTAAGTTGTCAATAGACGACTTGAAGTAGGCAGTGATTAGGCATACAAATGGTATACACCAGTCAGTGAAGGTGTTTGTTGGATCCTAGTAATATAAAATATTAAAACTGATCCACAGAAAGTGCTCAATGTATTTGTTATTGCAGAGCAAATTAGTACACAATAGAATCCAAAATTAACTCATATGGGGAATAGGCTTATTTCAACCGACAAAATCCATCAGTCTTATTCAACCCCGGTATAGACTGAGTTTGTGTCAGAATTAGAAATTTAACTGTGACAGCTACGAAAAAAGAGAAAAAAAAATATCAAAAACTAATACAAAATTTATCCATTTCAATGTTTCAGTCAGACGAAAGGCATGAGACAGTGGTTAGGAGAGGGAGGGTGGAAAGTATTAGTCTTAAAGGGAAGAGGTTTTATAAAATTAAACTCTGATATTAACCTTATGATACTAAATTGGGGTTATATGAAAATGAAATGTTAATGTTTCCTATATGAAGTAATTTTGGATTTATATATATATATATATGTGTGTGTCATTCACAGACAGCTGTTATGCTCTATCACAGCTTCTCAGTGTGACTAAACATCTGAAAACCTCAAAACTTGACCAATTTGGTGTCTGTCAGAATTTCTATCCCCTTAGCCATCAGCACTTGGCAGAGAGAAACTGCTAATTCTAGCGTATTGTTTTTTATGAATGTAATCAAACACCAGAGGGTTTGTATTCATTTTACTGAAGAGCATTGCATATATATATATATATATATATATATATATATATATATATATATGGACAGCTGGCATGGAAGATTGTGTTCAAGCATGAAACAGATTACCAGACCTCAGTGTGTAATTATAAAACAAGGAAGAAGAAATGCAACTCTCTTTACCTCAAATTCTTCATCTTCATCACTTGATCCAAAAATATCAGCAATCAGTTTTTCACCAGTTCTAGAAAAGAAAAAGTGTAAAAGAATAATCAATTGATCATTACACGAGAAAAAAAAAAAAAAAGAGAGAGACAGACACTACAATGTAACTAAACTAGTGGAATTGGTAGAATTCTTGGATACAATATAAAATAACATTCAGTAATTCTTTAATTTCTTTTTTTTTTCTTTAATTTTCTTTTCTTTGAGTTGCTTAAGTCATACTGTTCTCTGTTGTGGAATTACTGAAGATCTTCTCAAATTTGGGTACAGTTGTTTATAAACCAGTTGCTAATAGAAAAAAAAGAAAAATTGGGTATTTGACTTAAACCAATAATGGTTGTTTTTTGGTTTTTTTTTATTGTTGACTGATTGATTCATTTTATATGACTTATCAAACCATTGCAGGTTATTTAAAGTCAGAAAATAGATTGTAAGAATTCTTTTTTGAGATAATAATTTAAGGATACTAATTAACCAATAGCTGGAGTGAAAAGAGGTGGATTCATAACTTTCCCAAGATTATTTGCACATAAGTGAATATAAAGAACTTGACTCTCTGATGATTCTGAGCCATTATCCATTACACCACCCACACATCCCAGCTTACAGCACCTGGTATACCCAAGTGATAACCTATCTAGGTACTGACCAGGCTTGACATTGCTTAACTTCAGCAATCGTGCAAGAACTTACTACCATCAGAAAACATTCAAACAGGTAAGCAAAGTGTCAATGTGATTTTGCTGTGAGCCTCCAACAATAGATGTCGGTTTTGGGTAATTTGACTTGAGATAACATCCTCCCATCACAATCGAAAAACAATAAGTTATATGCTGTTTAATACGTTTTAAAAGACAGTGAATAATATAAAATATACATTTCTATATATCAGGACAATGAGTGTCAAAGTGAAACACTTCATTGGACAAAGTCCTTGTGGAGGATGAAACACATTACACAGAGTTTTTTTTTGACAAAGTGCTCATATTATGATCAGAAAACCATCAAAGATTGAAACAGATAGCTATGGGGCTCAGATGATTTGCAATACCCCCCCCATATTCTTTTGTAAATGATGTGCCCCAAAGGTAACAAAAATGCTACAGGAAATGCCCAACTAACACGGTTCCAATGTTACCAAACTTGATGGTAACTGCTGTTTGAGGCTCCCTACTATTGGATGGTGTAGAAAGACTGACTAACCTTCTCTACATTTATTGAAACATGAACTTGATTTGCTATGAGAAGAACATCTGCTCATGTAACAGGGACAAAAAGTGGGTTGCAAAGGCATAATACTTTTCCATTGCACAATTGTCACACTGAACTACTGTATTCTCAATCCATGTTCTCGTGATTAAACCCTTCTTCATTTAAACTTCTGTTTCCAGTGTTTTTCTTAAAGTCTTACTAACTAGCAACTACAAGTGTTATATGAACTTTATGACAGATTTATTAGGAGATAAATTATAATATTATGGATGAAAAAAAAAAAAAATTCTCAATTCACAGAAAAAAATTTAAAACAAGATGACAACTTACTGGTTTGGTTTATTTTGTTTTACAGCATATCAACCTCAATGGGTTATTTAATGCTAACATGATTTTTAGGACAGGTTCATATGAATAGAATATGTATTCTTTGTAAGAAATCAGTTTGTAGATCAGGTTTCATCAACGTACTTTTGTAAAGTGGGTTTTTATCGAGAGTCAAATATATTGTTAGTAATATTTTTCTTTTTTTTAAAAATGTGCCAGTAAGTGGAACTTATTTTATTTTTACATATACAGTAGTAACTGTATTAACAGGGAATTTCCTGGGTGTACAGGGTGTGGTAGAAGTACCTCCCACATAAGGGTAAGAAAGTAGCTAGATGAAGACATCATTACCACTAATGTGTTACCATTGTCTGGGAGGTATCTAAAACCCTTGATGAAGCTTGTTGGAACCTACACTTGGATGCTGAGATCTCTTGGAGACAACAACCAATTAAAATCATGGTTCTATGGACCCATTCCTGATATTTCTACAATCTTATTGGAATGCAGAACGCTCTTTGCAGGACACTGCTGGTGGTGAGCAAAGCAAGAACTTACGAGTGATCTACTACTTTGGACACCTAGCCATGGTGCAAGACAGGTTGGTCACCCAGCAACAAACCTGTCTTGACCAACTATGTAATGACACAGGATGCCCTGCCCTAATGACTTTGATGCAGGACCCTGATGGTTGTTGTGATAGACATTAGAAACAAAAATACTCACTCTTTGTCACTTTCTTCATCTTCATCGTCACTTTCCTTGGCTGGAATTGAAAGATAATGGTTCTCATTTAGGAAATCAAAAAAGGCACCAATATTGTAAGGTTATTAAATCTTACCTTTTTTTTTATTATTAGCATCAAGTTTATAAGCATGACAAAGCACAGATTAGTCCAAAAATTAAGCATGAAAGATTTTTTTTTACACTGAGATTCACCTTGTACAAGGCCTGAGAGCCACTTGAGGTAGAAGGTTACAGAGTAAGAGGCACAGTGTATGCACATATGTAGGGAAGATAATGATTGACCCTAGACTTGAACAGGTTAGCATTGTAGTTATTGCAGAAACATCCTCGTGGGAGTTGGTTCCACAGAGCAGTGGTTCGTAAGTAGAAGCTGCTCAAGTGAAACATACTTCTCTCCAATGGAATACAGAGGGAAGGAGAGTGGTTGACTACAATGTTAATAGCATAGCAGCTCCTAGCCATGAAAGTCAGGACAAGTGCAACCAAGGAATGTAGTTTGTCCGATCACTTTCCATGGAAGTAGTGATAGAGCAGTGAGAGGATTACGACATCCCATCTCTGAGTAAGAAGCCGCAGAGTGGAAAATAATTTGACACCTGCAAGGACTCGGAAATGCATTTAAACTCTATAGAGACTGGAAAATGAGAACTGGGCGGTTCCTGCCCAAAATATGACAGCAGTATTCTAAGCCTGATCTGATAGAGGAGTCAGGAACACTACATAGAACTGACCATTTTTCCAGCATCTTTAATGATGGATCATATGTACGAGTTCCACTTGGGGTCTAACTCATTAATGTTATATAATAAGTATGAAATAATGATCAAAAGTGAGAACATCATCAGCATCACCAGGCTCAGTTAACATTACCTGACACTTAAGAAAAAAAAAAAATTTATTTTAAAATCTTCAGTTATGTGTACTTTTCTTGAATGACATGCAAGAATGACTAAAAGAAAAAATAGACTTGTGCAGGTATTTTAAGGCATCTAAATTTCAAATCATTTCTTTCTCCAATTTTACATCATGCTTGGCGAGCTCTTAACGCTAAGTTTAATCTGAATTATTAATGCCCACTGTCCTGTTTTTGCAACAGTGGTCATATATCTCCTGCTCACAAATTCTTGGTATATAACAGCAGAGGACAGAACCTTTTTGTTTACTTCCAGCTAGCCTCGCTCTAGAATGTAGCAATTAACCCACATTGAATTACTGTGGTGACTACATACATATAATTATGGATTATTCTATTTGAATCTCTAGGAAAGACTGTAGAAAAAGATAGAAACACTGTTTGGTTTTAGTGAGAAAAACAAAACTTACATAATAAGGGAAAATAAGAGGTGATAACACTATTATGTGTTTAACGTCTACTCAAGTGAAAAGGGAAAACCTTGTCAATTTGTACCCTCTTACTTCTTTAAATAATAACCTGCATTCATTGTTATTGCAAGATTTTGTGAAAGTTGTTATGGTCAAATATTTAACAATGCAACAGAGCAATTTTCATGGATATTTTGTAGTCATTAAACTCACCTGCATTTTATGGATTATGCAAAAGTATTTGACAGAGTACATCACAAAGATCTATAGGAATTGCTAGGTAACCGTGACATATTTGAGAAGGATATTAGAACAATCCTGCAAACTGCCTGCATACCGATAGAAAATGAATTCACTAAATATACAAAAATAGAATGGTGTGTAAGAGGAAGAGGACTTATTCAATCTATGGAGTGACGCAATTCTGAGAGAACTAGAAGTCCTACCAGGATTTATTATTGGTGGCCACATTCTTAACAATATATGCAGATGACAGTGTTGGTAGCAGACAGAGAAAGAACTCCTACAGAAGGAGGTAGTGAAGGAAAGCAAGAAGTAAGGACTAAACATCAATTGTGAGAAGACTGAATGCATGGTTGCAAGCAGGAGGATTTGATTTGTTTGATTAACAGCATATCAACTCCTCGTAGGTCATTTAATGCCAAATTTTTAATTTTCTTGGGAGCCTTGAGGCAATAAAAATATATGTTATTCTGCTTACACAACTGAATACATGGTAGAGGATACTCAACTTTTGTGCATATACATGTTTGTATCTGTCTCTATTTCTGAGATGAGGTATTGTAATTATTTGCTTTGTTTGGACTGTTGTCCTCATCTTTGTTGGCATATTCATGATGTTTCAGCCATTGTATACTCTGGCCTTCAGATGACTGGAATTTTTAACTGAACCCTTAATTCCATCCACCAGGATAGATTGTTCTAGTTCTCAGTTATCTCCCTTTAACTCAACTCTCCAAGTTTTTGTTCACCACTGCAGTAGCCAGGTATTGAACTCACAACTCTTTGGGTCAAGTCACTGGATCCAACCAAAGCTTTTATCCATTGAGCCATGTGTTTTTGAGTGTAAATATGTTTGTGTGGACATAATTACTTGAGGCAGTGATGTGTTTTATGCTGGGGTTTTGTTGAAGTTATATTTTGGAATACAGTTTGATTTAAGAAATTGTAGGATATTATATGGCTTAATGTCAGGAAAGTTCTTTCATGTTGGTTGTTTGGTAGTATTTTAAATGGATTTAGGTGAAGTTGCCTCAATTTATTAGTATGTATATATTGTTGAGATTTTTTTTTTATCTATAAAAATGCATTGCTGGTACTTTTATACCTTCATACTGTTTTTTTTTGGGGGGGGGTCATTATTTGCCCATAGCTGGGACCCTAACAGGTGCTACCACCCAGGGTTAGGGTAGACCTGGGAACAGCAGCAATTAAGAGGTAGTTCCATGATCCTCAAAGCTTCCAATCTCCAAATCAGAGGCCTTCAAGATACCAAAATCAAACCAGTACAACAATTTAAATATCTGGGAAATGTTTTAACAGAGGACGGAAAGTGTGACATTGAAATCCACTGTTGTGAGAATATCATGACTTACTGTCGTCTAGAATGATGTTAAGATATAATTTTCTTTGATAAACTGCCTCTGTACCTATTAATCATAAGCAGAAGAAAGTATATAGCAATCCAATTCAAATTGGTCAACTGATATGACTGAATGTGGGACAATCTCATCACAGATGAAGAAGAGGTTTGAGCTGATAGAAATGTGGTTCTATAAAAATTTGGATTGTGTGACACTGAAATACTTTAGCTCTGTTACCATAGCAACATTCCTGATACTTTTTGATCAGACTTCATATGTTTTCAAAAATGGAAATAAATCTTTCTCGAAGCTTTACAAGCAAATAGATTAAACTTAATATTTCCAATAAGCAAAATACATTGCTGTATTTCAAAAACTAATTTAAATTGATTGGAAGGATTTTTTTTTATCAGTAAAAATGCTAAAACTGTTAATATTGACAAATCTGACAACAATGTAATTCTTTAAAAAAAAAAAAAAAAAAAAAAAATGAATACTGAAAAAACAAAAAAATAATTTAATAATCAAAAAATCCTTAATAAAGATTTTGAGAATAAATCCTTGTTTTTATTAAGCATGGAGCATTTTTTCATCATGTATGCTCATTTTCCAGTGAATCTTTGGAGGTACCTAATTGTAACCATTTAAAATCATGCACATTTAATTCTAAAAATCATTGTGATTGACCGAGTGTATCAAATAAAGTGTCTTAAGCCTATCCAAATCCAACCATTAGAATATAAGATACAGGAGGAGGGTGGTTTTTCATTTTTGGAGTGGGGGTGGAGCAGATCCTTTATGGGAGGAAAGAGAGAGACAGAGAGAAAAAAAAAAAGCATTTACTTTTTGGTGCTTCCTCTTCAGAATCAGACAATATTTTTTTGTGAATTTTGCGAGATGTATCAGCAGTTTTCTTTTCATTTCCAGAACTTTTGTCGTCATCATCTGATTCTAAACCGGTGGATATGACCCTGGCGAAAGAGAAAAAGAAACATTATTTGGTCTTCGGTGGAAAAAGAAATTGCTACATTTTCATGAAATTCATTTTCTTTCATTAATTTTTGACAAGCATTGAGTTTCATTTTATATTAGATGAAGCACTGCCAACTATTATTAGGCAGCCGTGGTTCTTTAAAAAAAATTGTTCTTTTCATTATCTTTATTGTTTTAACACTAGTGAAACAGAAAAGTACTAGGAAGACGAAAAAAGTCAAACAATTATGTCCTGACCCCAAAATAAGAGGCATTGAGCAAAATTTCATGAGAAAATTATCTCCGGGGGAGGTGTTGTAATGGAATGTCCCACACTCCCTATCGCCTATGTGGACTGACTATATCAGTAGCTAAGTGAGTATAGGGTATACCTTGCAGACTTGCTTTGGGAATTACTAGCCTGCCACTTGATTCCCTGTCTTTCAGTAGTGTATTCTCTTTTACAATAAACCGCTCTTCTTTCATCTACATGTGTGTTGCTGTTCCTTCACTTGAGTACCACCTTTGTCTGTTTGTAATCTCTTTAAGTTTTGGTTTGTTTTGTCTTATGGCATATCAAACTCAATGGGTTATTTAATGCCGACAACTTTTTTTTCCCTGGTAATATTTTGTTTGGTCAAAAATCTATAGTTGGTAATATTTTTTTTCAAAAATATATTGCTGGTAATAACTTTTTTTCCTTCAAAAATTTATTTCTGGTATTAAAACCTATTTTTTCACTTAATGCTTTTTACCTCAGTTTGGGGTTAACTATTTGCCCATACCTGGGACCCTAACAGGTGTTACCATCTCGGATGGTGAACCTGGGAACACCAGTAATTAAGAGGTGGTTCCACGCTCCTCAAAACCTCCTGATCAGAGGCCTTGTTGTTGGACGTAGTTTATCGTCATACCCAGAACGGCCTCTTTAAGGATACAACAAACACTGTGCCTCAAAATATTGAGCGAACTACATTTTGTTGATGTTGTTTATAATAAAAAAGAAGAAAAAAAAAAAAAAAATTAGCCCAACTTAAAATCAGCAAAAATCAAAGAAAGTTGCAGCCTTAACATGTTGATTGGAGGGTTGGGGGCAAGAGTGTGACTGGGATAGTGTTGAGGAAATATGATATCTGTCAACTATTCCTATCTCTAATATCAGTGACTTGATAACTTGGCTATAAAACAATAAAAATGGGCAATGAACAGACAAACATATCAAAAACTTTGGCCTTTGTGCATACACATTGTTTTTGATTTTGTCAACTGCACAGTATTGCAGGGTCAGTTGGGCAAAAAAAAAAAAAAAACCCAAAAAACTCTAATATTAGAATTTCAGAAATATATTAACCGATAAAATTTCTGAATTTAATAAATCTAACTTAACTTTCTGAGATCCAATTTTTTTCTACAAATGGCATAGCATAAATTAATAAACTAGTTTTTCAATATATCTTCAACTAAGATGTAAATAATATGGATTACTCAAATTTTTGCCTCCTCAAATTAACTTGGCGCATATTAAAGTTCCTTTTTGTAAATTATTTCTTGCTTTTAAAGTACTTTCATAAACCAGTTTACATTATGAAAATACCCAAGCAATGCAAAAACAAAGTATAACTATAATAGCCATATTAGCATTGATATTAATTGGCTGACAGTCAGCCTGCTGCTAATTTTACACTATATATACATACAACGTAAATTGTGAATTTTCCCATGATAATTTCTCACTTACCTTTCATCCTATAAAAACACAATTCATTTCTTTTATATTGTAAAAAAAAAAAAAAAAAAAAAAAAAATATTTTCATATGAACTTTGTTTGCAAGGAATTTGATAACGTGTTTCTTTCCACTTAAAAGAATTAAAGATTATTTTTATACTCAGTAATAAAATTCTTTAAATTTGTAGAGTTGTGTTTGAAGATTGCTTTTCATACACTTTTTCTTCTACAGATGCAGTATGTCATAGTGGGAGATAAAGAAAATTATGTCTTAACTTTATTCTAGATGATGCCAAATCTCTTCAAGATATAGGCGATCATGGCTGTCCACAAATTCCTCCTTATCTGTGAATTGCCATGGCATCTTAGGGGAGATCGTAGAGTAGTTAAATGTTATGTAAATTTATGACATAAGCGATCACAACTTCTTTACCATCTGTGGCTATGACTTCTTAGGGAAGACAGTGAAGTAGTTAAACGATATGCCTTTCAAGTCATAGCGACCGTGGCTCTCCACAGCTTCCTTTCTGTATTAGGTGCAAATTGTCATGACATCTTATTGAAGACTGGAGTAGTTAAATGGCTCTCTTTTGTTATAACATGCTTTTTCCACGAACATTTGCACACGCCTCCAATTGGTCAGATTGCTTGAATCCTTAGCATGCGATAAAACTTGTTCAGGATCATTCTTTATTACAGAGCACACCTAGGGTAGACAACTTCTATGTTGCATAATGTAACTAATATAAGCAAACAGATGCCTTAGATTCTATCATACGTCTAAACATGAAACACTATATATATATATATATATATATATATATATATATATATATATATTACCTAGTTTTTTATAAACTATATATATATTATCCTCCTTATGTTTACCCATACGGATTACCTAGTTTTTTTTTATAAACTATATATATATTATCCTCCTTACCTTTTTTATAAACTATATATATATTATCCTCCTTATGTTTTACCTATTTTTTTTATAAACTATATATATATTATCCTCCTTATGTTTACCCATACGGATTACCTAGTTTTTTATAAACTATATATATATTATCCTCCTTATGTTTACCCATAATGGATTACCTAGTTTTTTTATAAACTATATATATATCCTCCTTATGTTTTTGGCATCGGATTACCTAGTTTTTTTTCAAACTATATATATTTATCCTCCTTATTTTTTAAATAAACTATATATATATATATATATATATATATATATATATATATATATATATATATATATATATATATATGTGTGTGTGTTACAGACTGGCTGGAAAGGTTTTAGTGACGCATTTCATCTGACTGGGCTTTTGTTGACATTGCCGTCTATACATGAAACGAGAGATGCAGGTAATTTCAAAATTTTTGAAAGAATATTTTTGAAAGACCAATTTTTTTTCTTCAATCTAGCTGAAATCATCTGTATTCTTTCTTTCCTTCACCTTTGTTCCTGATTATCCCACACTGTGACAATATAAAATCTACCAAGACTTTTAAAACTACCTGTTTCTTGTTTTGTGTACATGTGTAGACATGGCAACGTCAACAAAGCCCAGTCCAATGAAATCATAACAGATGAAACGAGTCACAAAAAAAAAAAACTTGGATTGTAAGATTTTTTTGGAGAATAAGGATTCAGTACAAGTCTTATTAATTAAACCCATAGCTGGGAGGAGGGAGAAGTGGATTCATACTTTTCCTAAGGGTATTTGCGTGTAAGTGAATGTAACAAACCCGACTGGAATTTGAACTCGGCTCTCCGATTTCTCATTCCAAGCCATTATCTATTACACCACCTACACATCCAAGCTTACACCACTCAGTATTGCCAAGTGGTCACCCATCTAAGTACTGACCTGGCTTGACATCTCTTAACTTTGGTGATCAGACGAGAACCAGTGTTTCAACATGAGATGGCCATAAGTCATTCAGGATGTCGGTGACTATGGCTCTCTGCAGATACCTTCTCTTCATTATCTATGAATTACCATGCTTTCTTGGGAAAGATAGTGGAGTGGCTTCCCAATGCTGTCTTTGTATTTTTGAATTCAAAGTAGTAGTCCTCCTACAATGGCTGCCATTTAAGGCAAGACTGCCCACCCAGCCCTGCTATTTAACCCATAGTTGGGTGATAAGAGAGTTTCATGCCTTTCAGAGGGGCATTAATGCAAAAGCAAATGGAACAGACCAATTGGAATTTGAACTAAGCTCGCCAATTTTACCTTCTACTATGACCATCATCAGAAGAAGGACGTTCCGCTCAGACAGCTTCTACGGAAGAATTGTTACTTTGTGGAACAAGCTCCTGAAAGGATGCTTTTCCTATGACTATAATCTTAACCTCTTCAAGTCTAGGGCCAATCATTATCTATCTTACATATAATCTGCTTTTCTTACTTCCTTCCTTTATGTCCTTACAACAAATTCATTGAGCTACTCTTTGAGAGGTTTTTGGGCATTACATTGAGTGAACAATATTATTAAATATTAGAGAGGAGAAATAGAAGGGGAAAAAAAAAAAAAAAAAGAGAAATAGGAGAGAAAAAAAAAAGGAAAAAAAAAAAAAAAAAAAGAGAAATAGAAGGGGAAAAAAAAAGGAGAGAAATAGAAGGGGAAAAAAAAAGGAGAGAAATAGAAGGGGAAAAAAAAAGGAGAGAAATAGAAGGGGAAAAAAAAAAAGGAGAGAAATAGAAGGGGAAAAAAAAAAAAAGGAGAGAAATAGAAGGGGAAAAAAAAAAAAAGGAGAGAAATAGAAGGGGAAAAAAAAAAAATAGGAGAAAAAAAAAAAAAAAGGAAAAAAAAAAAAAAGAGAAATAGAAGGGGAAAAAAGAGAGAGAAATAGAAGGGGAAAAAAAAGGAGAGAAATAGAAGGGGAAAAAAAAAAATAGAAGAAAAAAAAGGAGAGAAAAAAAAAAAAAGAGAGAAATAGAAGGGGAAAAAAGGAGAAAATAGAAGGGGGAAAAAAAAGGAGAAAATAGAAGGGGAAAAAAAGAGAAATAGAAAAAAAAAGGAGAGAAATAGAAGGGGAAAAAAAAGAAAAAAGAAATAGGAGGGAAAAAGGAGAGAAATAGAAGGGAAAAAAAGGAGAGAAATAGAAGGGGAAAAAAAAAGGAGAGAAATAGAAGGGGAAAAAAAAGGAGAGAAATAGAAGGGGAAAAAAAAGGAGAGAAATAGAAGGGGAAAAAAAAGGAGAGAAATAGAAGGGAAAAAAAAAGGAGAGAAATAGAAGGGGAAAAAAAAGAAGAGAAATAGAAGAAAAAAAAAAAAAGGAGAGAAATAGAAGAAAAAAAAAGAAGAGAAAAGTCAAAATTATTTACTGCTGAAATTGACATTGTGAATCTTGCCAACCAGCCTATTGTTCTTAATACTTACTTGATGTCATTTTTTAATTTTTCATCTCCTTCATCTTCACTATCACTGCGAATTTGGCTTCTGACTTTGCGCTTTATCTGTTCCGACTCTGAGTCGGAGGGTTCACTGTCCGAGAAAAGTTTCTCTTTTTTTTTTCTTACAATTGGAGAGTCTGGAGAACTGCCCTCTGAAGGCACAGGAGAATTTGACCTACTACGCTGCAATCCCGACTTGCTGTGACGTGAAGCAGGTCTGCTGTGTTGTGACTCAGCAGACCCTGACCTACTGCTGCGGTGGGAATCTGCTGATCGTGAACGGCTCCGTCGAGATGCGGGAGAACCAGATCGACTCCGTTGGGGTGACTTTGAGCCACTCTTGCGTGAACCTATAGAGCCGCTTTTGTGAGATGCTGGAGACCCAGATCTGCTTCTACGGGACTCTGATTGACTTCTTACTGAAGCTGCAGAACCGGACCGGCTGCGGTGTGGTGATCCTGATTGACTTCTCTGCGAGGCTGCAGAGCCAGACCGGCTTCTCCGTGAGGCTGGAGAACCAGACCGGCTTCGGCGTGGTGATCCTGATCGGCTTCTCTGTGAGGCTGCAGAACCAGACCGACTTCTTCGCGAGGCTGCAGAACCAGACCGGCTTCGGCTTCGCCGTGGTGACCCTGATTGACTTCTCTGCGAGGCTGCAGAACCAGACCGGCTTCGGCGTGGTGATCCAGATTGACTTCTCTGTGAAGCTGCAGAACCAGACCGGCTTCTCTGTGAAGCTGGAGAACCAGACTGGCTTCTCCTCCATGGTGATCCAGAGCCACTTCGCTGAGATCCTGACCGACTTCTATGAGACCCAGAAGAACCTGAACGGCTCCTCCTCGAAGGTGATCTTGATCCACTCCTCTGTGAAGCCGGTGACCCTGATCTGCTACGTTGTGAAAGTGGCGTTCCTGATCTGCTTCTCTGTGAGGCAGGTGATCCTGATTTGCTACGATGTGACCCTGAGCCACTATGCCTGGAGGCTGGAGAACCAGAACGACTTCTTGCTGGAGATCCAGACTGACTCCTCCTAGATACTGGTGATCCGGATCTGGATCGACTGCGTGCTGGGGATGCTGAATGTTGACTGTGTGCAGGGGAGGGGGAAATAATATGCGGTCTGAGCCACTCTTCTGTACAGACATGGGGGAACCAACTGGACTCTGAGGAGATCCCGATCGGCTGTGAATGGATCCACTCTTTGCAGGGGAGACAGATCGACTTCGACTGGGGCTTGCAGCAGGGGATTCAGGATCATTCCGAGCATCTTCATCTCCAGAATGTTCCCTTTCACCATCCGACATGTTTTCATCAGAGTGTCTTTCCAGCTCTTCTCTTTCAACATCTTCATCATCAGTGTCTCGTTGTACCTCTTCACGTTCAAACTCGCCACCCTCACTCACATATTCATCATCCGAGTCAGCTGTTCGGGCATTTTTCCCTGATGATTTCTGCTCGTCATCACTACCATCCACTTCCATGTCCTGGCAAAGAAATAAGAATTTATCAGTCATTTGAAATTTGACTGGAGGCAAAAATAGAAAAATTTGAAAGCATATAATCTGCTTCTTGGCTGAGGTAGTTGCAAGGTGACATTGATTAAGCCGTTGTTAATCTGTAATCTTATTAAATGGTAATTTAATTACTCTTAACCTTTACCACACTGCAAGAAACAATAGTCACCGTAGAATTATCTCCCTTGCTACTATCAGCAACTTCTGTTGCCGAGAGGGTTGCTATGAATAAACACTTGTCAATTGTTATTTCCAGTATTTTAAGCTGGAAATCACGTACTACTGCTTTGGAACAATGCTAAACTTCCATTTTCTCAATGCCATCTTAAATTCTTCTAGACTTGACACTAGGTGTAACATTGATTAAACCACGTTAATTTTTTTGTAAACAAAAATGGCTGCGTCAATATCCAACAAAGCCTTTATTCAGGAGTTTTTCTTTAATTAACACTACGATGATGATTTTGAAGACTTTACTTGAGTGCATATTGAGGCTGAAGTAGTTGGAGATAATAACGATGTTAGTGACATGGTGGAAAGAGATAATGACCACTAGCAGCTACTATCATCCATGCTGGAGTAATTTTATGCAAGCTACTGGCAACCATCAATATATCTGATAGTCTTTCTGAAGGTGAATTATTTTGTCTATTTATAAATGATGAAATAATAATTTTATTCATCAACGAGACAAATAAATATGAATCAGGTGAAAGAGCAAACAAATGCTAGCGTTTTCTCGTATGTAAACGAGAAAACATGTCACGTTTTTAACAAAATAAGATTTTTTTTTTTAGTGATTTTGCTTCTTATTGCAACCCCAGAACTCCACAAAGAGTAATAAAAGTTAAAATCTATACACACAATACAAAGAAAGTTATAACCATTTTAAAACAATAGGTGTACATGTTTTTGCACCCCTAAAAAAAAAAAAAGTGGCGGGGGAACAATTCTAGATATGATCATGGTAAAAGTTAAAAAGTGATGATTAGAATTGCAATAAAACCTAAAAAGATGGGGAAAGCAAAAGCATATGTCCCTTTGCATTTCAAAACTGCATTTCTTGTTCCAGTATCTTTAACATGCATGCAAAACATAATGCATTACATCAAAATATTACTCATTCTTTTATTAGTGTACAAAAATTAAAATCTATATGCACAATACAAAGAAAGGTATAACAATTTTAAAACAGGTGTTCATGTCTTTGCACGCTAAAAAAAAAAAAAAAAAAAAAAAAAAAAATGGAGTGGTAAGGGGAACAATTCTAGAAATAAATTAGCATGTTAAAGGTTAATAGAGTGGGGGGTGGAGAACTGCTCAGTTATTGCTCACAGTGTTTCCACAGAGTCCAAGTACACACTGTCTGGCCCAGGGATTGAACTCACAATTATGTCACCAAATCCACGAACAGATGCTTTATACACTAGATTATTGTCTATGGATAAGGAGTCAGAGATTGAGAAACAGGTATCAACAACAATCATTATTTCAGGGTTTAGATATAAGCTTACCTGATTTTCGCCATCAGAATATGGTTGCTCATCTTGAACAGGTGTACTTCCACCACTCCCACCACTTCCACCTGGAAAAACAACAATAAACACTTATTTTTCAGAATACTTAGAACAAACAAAGGATTTGCAGGTAGAGTAACAGTTATCAGTGCAGAAAGTGGAAATGGCAAACATGTTCCAATTCCAGTCTATGTCCGTTGCCTTAACTTTCACATTAATTCTCATGGCAAAAGCATGAATCCAGCTCCACTCCTCTCAGCTATGGGTTAAATAAAAGGATAACCTGGGCTATCTAGTCTTGGTTGTCAATCAGTGTAGCAGAAGGAAAACTAAATCCAAACCCAGAGGAGACAATAGAAAACCACTCATCTAACATTCTTAAGAAGAGACAGCAATTCACATATAATAAAGAAATCTAGATAGCCATGATCACCTCCATTCTGAAGGTAGATGGCATTTATTTATTGATATTATATACATCCAACTACTTTTTTCTCACCAAAACTAATGGCATGTGGGAAAAATTCTTTGGGTGGGACATGACACCACGCTTCCTGAACATGTGAAAACTTTTGCACCTGTAGGATGTGCCGGTTCCTGGTTGATACACCTAGATTACAGACATGTAGTGCACATTCACATTTTCATGCAAGATGACCAAACACATCAAGCAGAGATATTGCATCCAGCTTTGCAAAAAACTTCATGATGCTCAAGTTCAAACCATTCAGAAGATTCAGCAGGCCTTTGGTAATGATACCTGGGCAAAACTCGGATCAAGGAATGATGAAGAAGGTTCGATGGATAGCCAGGGAAGACTGTCATGTAACAGTTCAGAAAATTGTTCACAAAGTGGGAGTAAGCACAGGAACAGTGCACTCCATTTTAATGGAGGATTTGTGAATGGGGAGAGAGTCAAAGAAATTTGCCTGCTCATTCCACCCACATAATCCAAGCTTTTCTAATCAAGAACATACCAGTTATTCAACAAACTTCCAACTCTGCTATCTGGAAACCATGTGACTCTTTCCCAAAACAGGCTTTGAATGTGCCTCATTATATATATATATATATATATATATATATTGGCTTGACAACCACCATATTATCAAGACGTCTTTTATCATTTGTTAGATACAACATTTAAAAGGCACCTTCCTGTCCATCTTCACAATACAGGAAAATACTTGTTGACAACACCAATATACTACACCATGAAAATAATTAACAAAAACTTCAAATTCTTGAGGCCGTCTATATCAAAAGTAACCAACCAACATTGAACAAAATTTATGATGAATGAAGTAGCAGTGTTTTAAAAAGCATTTGACTAACATTTAACACCCTATTGCATTTTTACCATCTCTGGTTAGCTGCCTTACATTGTGGATGCTTGTTTACAAAAAAAACATTGTAGCTACAATGGATAAATTTAAAATTTTAAAATAATTATAATAGAGTGTGTTCACACATATTTACAAAAATCGCCATCACAATGAGGATGATCTGAGAAAGTACTTGGGTTAACAAAAACTATGGTGCCTCCCTTGATGAATTTCAACTTAACATCAAGAAGCTAATTAGGGAACTAGAAAGGATTATTATGAAAATAAACAATGTTTATAGTATTCAATGAAACATGCTTGACTGAAGATATACTGTGTGTGTATTTGTGTGCATATATTTCAGCAGCAATCACTCTCTAATATAGGTTTGATTAATAGGAGTACCTTGTTAGTTTTTATTGTATTTTTCTTGCATGCAAACAAGATTTCTTTTGGGGATTTAGCAAGTGCAAAAATTACCCAAATGATTGATCATCCCAAGTGCTGTCAGCTAATCTATTTGCCATTTTCAAAGATTTTGTTTATGATATTCTAAATGGTGTATAAGCTGAAAAAATGCTGAAATCCTGACGATACATTGTGAGTGTGCTCATTATTGAAAAATACTATAAAAAATTATTAACAGAAATACCTTGTCAGTCATTTGTATATTCCTTTAAAGATTTATTAAATCAATGAAAAGAAATAACTGTCTTTTGTAGGCACTGCATTAAGTTCACTTTAAAACATAAAAATTTCATAAATATATATCTATTATTTGATTACAAATAAAAAAATTTTAAATTTTAATTTTAACAACGCCATACCTAATGTGCCATTAAATATAATATAGCATTTTGGATCTTTATAATTAAAAATATAAATACATAAAATATAATTTAATTGTATTTGAAGCCCCATTAAGACAGCTCCAATGTATCTAAAAAAAAAAAAAAAAAAAAAAAAAAAAAAGAGCAAATAAAAATGCTAAAATTAACACAATTAACTCCCTGTATTTTAATGTATCTTATATATGTCCCAAAAAAATGTAGACAGGATGACATGTCTCATACATGAAAGTCTGTATCGGCAAGCAGAAATTACATATCCACACCAAACCTTTAATCAACATTTTTCACTTTTCCATCTTAGATTTGACCTGTATCCTGATTTGTCAAAAAAGACAACACCCATTTAAAATTTTGAAATCTCATTCCCCTTTCAACTGAAACTCTTAAATATAATACTACTTTGCTTAAAAAAGTAAATTTTTTTTTTTTTTTTTTTTAAGTTATTCAACATTGCTTGAAAATAGAACATAAATTAATTTTTTGTTCCAAAACACAGTAATTTGTGTCTTAATGAAAAACATTTTTAAATAATAATATTATGCTGTACTTTGTATTGAGCACTTTTTTAAAGAATAAATTTTACCCATTAATAGCCTGTTCCACATTTTTCAAAATGGCTGCCTGTTTGTTTTGAGTGCTCCTGAAATATCTTTTCACGCATATATAAGAGCAAATAAAAATACTGATCACATAAAATTAAAGATGCTGGTCAACTAAACTAGCAGACTTTAGCTTTAAAATATCCGTCATTTGTTGAGGGAGGGGCAAATTCATGTTCTACAAAATCACCTAAAATAATTATTAAAATATATGAATGAGATTTAACGAGTCTTGTATAGTCAACAGAAAAAGTATATTGTAATGATTCTATTTTAAAATTTGAAACTTTTTTTTTGTGTCTCTTGAATGTTATTGGTCACTTTCACACTGCTATGACGTGGAGATTTTGCTTTTTCTTCTCATCTGTTATTACAAATCCAGTTTTTAAATGCAAACATAACAGGCTCAACTTTTTTTAATTTATAAATTCTGAAACATATTGCTTGGGTCTGTAGAATTTATGATGTATCAGTCTTTGTTTGGTTATTTAATGTAAATTTTTTTTTTTTTTTATTATTTGATTTGGACCCAGAAGTAGACACTGATAATCCATAACTTAGTCCAGTGTTTCTCAACCTTTTCAAGCAATTTTTCTTTTTTTTTTTTAAATCTGAGAACATCTATCTTCTATCCAGTCCTTATTCCTCACATACTCCCCCAAATCTTTTTACCGTCTACAAGAAGCAATGTTAACCACTTTGAAAATGTCTGGTTGATCGATTTGTTTTTTTTTTGTTTTTTAAGTATATCAACTCTTTGTGGGTTAGTTATTTTTATTATTTTTTTTTGAGAAAAAAAAAAAAATTTTTTTCCAGATATGTCCTACTATTTAACCCATAGCTGGAGGAGAATGATTCATACGTTTCTCCAAGGTTAATTGCACATAAGTGAATGCAACAAATCCAACTATTTGAACTCAGCTTTCCAATTTCTCACTGTAAACTGCTATCCATTACACCACCTGCACACCCACTGGAAATGAATGGAATAATATAAATAAAATAGAATCTTAATGTAGTTTATATTTAAAAATTATTATTATAAAAGAAATTTGTCAAAATAAGCAAGAGACATTAACAGATGTTGATTTGTGATGTCCAATATGAGGATAGGACTTTGGACAAAATGAGATTTTTATTGTCTCAAGTGTTACAAATCAAGTTCATTCTACTTACTAAGTATTGTTATTGACACATTCATTTGCAATAAGTAACAATACATTCAATAAATAGAACAAGACTTGTTTAATAATGAGTGTGTTTAGTTTTATTAGCTTGAGTTAAAAAAAAAATCTTTTAAGAAACTGTAAAAACTACAAAAAGAGATAAAGAACACTTATAAATTTCCAGGATATATTTGAAAGATTTTTGAGAAATTTTATCAATTGTATTGTTAGTAATTAATAACTTTGGTATTTTTTTAAAATCCAACATTATTTTTTACTAGTGCACCCGTGCCATTAAAAATAATAGCAATCGTTAGAAAGTTTTAATAGTGAGATGCAATGAAACAAAGTCTGGAAATAATGTATCAAGATTCAATAAAGCGGAGATAAAGAATTCACAACTGAAATCGGGGCCAATGAACCATTTAATTAATCTGTTTGCTTTATTATTTGGGGGGGGGGACGTTCAATGGTACCTAGGATTCATTGAGTACTCCTGGTATTATATAATTTGCTTTTTGCTCAATATCTTTGCATATTAAAAATTTTATATGTTTAATATAACCATGAAATGAAATATATTGGAGGAAAAATGTTAGCAACAGAACAACAAAGTTTATTTGAAGACCAAGTTGAAGCAAGATGATCACTTAATAGACAAAGATATCCAAGTGCCTCACATGAAAGGCTTGAACAAATAGGACTACAATCTAAGAAATGTAGGAGTAAAGGGCCTGATTAATTAAACAGTTCATTTTTGCTTGGGAATTATTTTTGTCTAAATACAGATTATTTGTATAGATTATTAAAACTAAGGGAAGTAATCACTCAAATTTATTAATCTAAGTTAATTTATCACCATTCCTACTACAAATGGACGGAAAATATATAAATATACATTGATAAATATTATATGGCTTGATGTTATTTCTAGTGAGTACGCAAGTTTGTGTCAACATCTTGATTTCCTATTTTCTTTAAACTGTGAAATGAATATCAATCAGCCTATATTGAGAAGTCCTAAAGAAAAATGTGCCTTCCAACAAGAATTGAATCTGCATTCTCTTTTGCCATCAGAGAAACGACTTTCTTACATGCCGTTATTGCATGCCATTACCAATTAGGCT